TACTTTATCCGTTGGAAATAACTGCAATTAACACTGGAAATCTCAAGTTAATGATAGCATATTATGTGACATATGTTAGAAAAGAATAGCAAGCTCAAAGATGTACCTCATCAGCATACGCTGATTTTATTAAGATACTAAGATACCATTAACTTACTACAGCTGTAAGTGTTCAGAAGCCAGTTATTTTAGGATAAGTTGCTGTAGCAGTTCCTGTCTTTTAGTGTTTGATGGGAGACTATGGTGATGGTGGTAAGAACTAGAATCCATGCAGGGCATGCCTTACAAATATTTAAGTTCCATGATAAAAAAACATTGTACTTGTGCATATGCACAGGTCTTCTACAAGTCAGATCAGAAGAGACATTGTGTTCTGTGAAAGAATAAGCAGACCAAATAACCTTTCAAATCTGAGCTCCTGTCAGTATTTGTCCAGGACATTAAGTACTTCTTCAACTCTTTTTGAAATATTTTCTGAATTTACATTTTCTCTGAGTTTGGGTAAAGTTAGTTTAAATGTAACAACAAATATCTATACTTCGTATTTGTCATGGGTAGGAGCATACAGAGCCCTCTGAAAAGCAATATAATACTCCCAGTGTACAGAAACACTCCCTTTTCTGCTGATTTTACTTTATGGTTGAAAATTTATCAATCCATTTCATTTTTTTCTGTCCTTGTGTCTTCATCGTTTAGCAGTGGACTTGGCAGGGTTAGGTTTAATGATTGGACTCAATGATCTTAGAGCTCTCTTCCAACCTAAAAGATTCTATTAACCTAGATTTAAATTATAGATAAATATATTTATGTATACCTTTCTCATTATTACATAAGTATTTATCCTATTCAAATAAGGGCATATGGGTCACCAGCAACAACTATGGGGATCAGGCAAAGTTTCACAGCCATTGCCATATTAAAACCTGATTCTTTTGAGTGATATTTGGCATTGCTGTCATGGGGATTGTTATGATCTCTTGATTTTCTGACATAAACTTGAGCATTTTTGCTTTTATTCAGATGAGCCACCTTGTAATATTACTTTTAATGTCTGAAGCATCGCACTGACGCACTTTAGCTTCATCTTGCTGTATCCCTGAGGAGTTGAAGATGTCTGTTTCTAGTAAAGATACTCATCAGGAAAAAAGCAAAAGGGCTTATAGTGAAGCTGGGCTGTCCCTTTCTCCTGTGTTCCGGTAGGTGGTCTGTAAAATCTGGGAGGAAGATGTATATATTGCAATACATGATGTGCAAAAGCCCATGATACAGGGATGAGACATAAAGAAGAGTCTGTAGGCTGCAGAGAGCTTCCCCATGAAGAGAGGGATCATCAAGAATGATTGAGAAAAGTCAAAAGAAAACAAAAAATCTATCTGATCTTTTGTTCGTACTTAGCAGTCACTTCAATAAATCTTTAAATAATTATATCTGATCCAACCCATGTCTTTGAGCATTAATGTCAGAAATGGCCTAGCTCAGCAACTGGTTGTGATTTTAGAATGTGTTTATTGTAGTCTTAGACACCATCAGACTTGTCCAGAAAAAAAAAAAAAAGGCATTGCAGAAAAAAGCTTTAAATGACAATCAGTTCAAGGCAGAGCACTTTTGGGTTATTTGCATCTCACCAGCTGACAGACAGACTCCAAAATTAATAATTAATGGCCAGTCTTCGCGAGCGAAGATCCGGGGAAGGTCTTTCCACCTTCCAGCCTGCGCATTGGATTTTTTAGGTGAGACACAGTGTGCGCGGAACTGAGCCCACCCTTTAATCCTAAGGTTCATCTGCCGGGGCCAAGCGAGCTTGGACGGTGGCAGCGAGGTCCTCAGGACGTAGATGGATTGCCTTTTTAAGGGTTAACAAGCTCCATCAGCCCGGGAGTGGCCCTGACCGGGAATCGACCCTGGGTCTCCGCGGTGACAGCGCCACGCCCTTACCACTAGACCACCAGGGGCTCCAAAATTACCATAAATGTAAATATCTAGGAGTGGCCCAGCATAGTTTCTCTGCTCCTGGAGCTGGACTAAGTGTATTATTTGACCACTAAGGTTCTGCCCTACAAGTTAGGAGTGCATTACCTTTAGGGAGTTGTTGCAGTGTCTCCTGTCAGTCTTTCTCTGTGACATTCCCCATTAGTCCCAAACTTGTCTCAGATTCTTATAAAGCTGCTGCTGAACTTGCACAAATTGCAGCCTGGTGTTTCACAGAAAACCCAGCTTACTATTTCTCCCTTACTGCACCTGGACATGAGCAACCACAGTACAGCCTCTCTGCTTTATGAACAGCAGTCCCATGTCAGGCTGTCCACCTCATGATCACAGGGGCCTTAGGTGATACTGAACCAGAATATGGCCGGAAGTTTGTACTTGTACTGATACTCTCGGTATTGAATTTTGCATTCTCTGCCACCCTGATAATCCCAAAACCTCTTCTTTGTTATTTGAATAAATCCCTGAGAGGATTTTTCATTTATATGCTAATAGAGTTTTTGCCCAGGGGTGTTTTGCAGCTTCACATTGCAACAGGGTGAATCATGTGCTAACAACAAAACCAAGTTCCTCAATGTCAGGTTCCTCAGCATCAGTAACTCTGGAAACAAGTGATTAAAGGGGACATACTGATTATTTAGGGAGGGATTCACCTCAGCTACCTTCAGACATTCAGAAGTTAGGTGTCAAGTATGACCTGGACCTTTGGGCTTCTCCAGAAGATTCCAGTATAGAGGAGTTTAGTCACTGCTTGTAGTTGCCATGCTTTCCTTTTACTCCATTCAGTACAGAGGAAACAGAAGCAATCAGCTTCTACTGACTAAGTCTAACTTTTCGATGACTTAACAGTCAAGTGTATCCTAAGTGCATGCCTTGTGACAAGGATATGCTTGACTCAAAAGGAATAGTGCTTCATAGCAAAAGGCAAATTTGAACCTTGAACTAATTTAGGAAATCCAATACCAAAGTGTCAGCTTTGAGTCAAAGGTACTTTTGGCTGCCTCTGACTTGAGCCTAAAGAACAGGTATTTTATATGAGGAAGGGTTGAGTCAAGAAAGAAAAGGTAGTTGTTAGGCAACAAGCAACTCTTAGTCAGCTTCCTAAGGGATGCTGGAGGCTTCTTCCCCCACCTCATTTCATTTTGTCTTAAAACCAAAGGTACACGATAATGATGTAAATAGAAACAGGATCTCATGCAAAAACCTCACACCCATTAGCTTCCATACATCACAGAAGCAAGACCTGGAGCTCATAGCCTTTGTGGAGCACAATTACAAAGAAATTGTAGCTAATAATCTCATTCCTTTGTTGTGGTTCTGTACCTCTTCTACAACTTCCACCAAGGATACAGATAGGCTGTAGCAGAAGAAACAGAAAATGTGTGTGTTTTTATGTGTACAGTTAATTTTCTCTAAATGGTTTCTAGTCACCCTTTTTACAGGAAAAAAAGTCAGATTCTAAAACTTTTTTTATGGAAGTACAAGTGCTCATATTAAGCAAAGCATCAGCCAGAGCATGGGAGAGGTGTGTGACACTCCTTAAAATATTGCTGTAGATTATCTAATTCTGGCTTCAATTAAGCAGTTCCTGTTCCATCAAGAAGTTTCAATATGATGAAGATGAGAAAGGAAACTCAAAGCAAATTTTTCACTTGCCCTTTGTGGCAAAATAAATGTGCTTATTTCATTAAACAACGATGAAAAAAATATAACGAGTATATAAAATTAAACCTAAGAAATCAAACTTTTAGAAGGATGGAATACTGTATATAAGATCATCAGATTGTCTCGTTCTTCTTGTAACAACACTTTTTCATATTGATTCCTGTGTTCATATAAGAAAAGTATATAATGAGACTGCTAGAAGTGATTGGTTTCTAGTTTCTAGTTTCTGTCAGACAAGATCCTTGTACAAAACTCATTGCCACAGTCAGAGTGGCTGTGATTTCATACTTATACCTGACTGTAAAAGGAAGCATCATGCTCTGTCATCCTATTAATCTCAAGTTCTTTCGTCAGCACTGCTTTTAATCTTTTGGGAGGACTTTCAATACAAACATATGTATGCCTAATAACGTTTGCATAATGAATTAGAAAATTTAATCACTGAGCTTCCTAGAGTTGTGCTGAGCATATGCAGATCCTCATGAGATTAAAAGAGAAGTAAATGTACACAATCAGTCAATTAAATTCCAATAATCTGCTAATAGTGCCCAGCTGGCTGGTGATTTGAATAAAATTGCTCAGAAATCTGGATGTTTCTTGAATTAGAAAATGGCATTATTGTTTGTTGAAAAGCTTCATGATTTTTCAAGGTGAAATGTTTAAATCTAAATTTGTTAAGATGCACACTGTATTAAGTGTGAAGCCCAGAAATAAGTAACACACTTCTAATGATACAAATGATACATTGTGTTTTAGGGAGCAGAAAAATGTGGCTTATCAAGTCTTCTTTCATTTCTTTTGAAGTAGAATACTACAATAAAAACAAGTTGTGCACACAGAAACCATGATGCAACAGCATTTTTCAGGGAAAGTGTTCCTTCAGAAGAATTCTTATTATCTTCATACATAAATGTGTTCTTTCTAATGATCATCCCCACTGTTGTTTTCTTAAATTTATATTTTATTATGGAGTCAATCGTGCATGGAATTCAGGGTCTTTGTGTGGAGAAAACAGGTAGATGTGTTTATTAAACTATTATTATCCTCACTTCTAGAACATCACTGTAAGGCTGTTTCTCTTGGATGATCTCTATCATATTATCAATCAGGGTATTACTGTTACTGCATTTCCACGAGCCCCCGGGTAGGAACCATCTGGTCTCTCAGTTCACTCTGCTCAGTCACAAGACCTGCAGATATGAACGTTCATATCCTACAGCAGACCTGCTCTTTGAACAAATAATGTGGGTGGGAAATTTTCCTGTTTCAGAAATCATGGAGGGGTGGAGCTCTGACTCAATGTAATAAAACACCTGTTCAGCAACTTCTGACACTCTTCAAGACTGAAAATTTGTTGTAGGAGACACCGACAACCGTGCAGCCTACTACTGAGGTGCCATTCACAGCAGCTGCTTTTAATGTAGCAGCGATCTCGATGGCATCAACCTCTGCCTTACCTCAGGTAAGTGGAAAACAGAACCAGCCTGGAAGGACCCTCTGAGTTTTTGATTCAGATTTGTCCCTGAACTACAACAGTTCAAGTGTACTGTTACCTGTTGGACATAAATCTCCAGGAAAACGAGATTGTCCTTTCTTGGATATTTGCAGCTACCAGGACTGGAGTCATTATGTTTCCATATAGCACAGCAACTGCTGCCACTTTCCTGGCACAATCATTTTATTCACCACTATGAGGAGGTACAAATTGCCCATTCCACTTTGCAGTTACACATTGAGGAACTGAAATGAGTGGAAAAATTGATATTTTCATCTCTCCTTTTCATTCCCTGTTCTTTTTCCCTCAGCAGCATTCAAGCAGAAAATCAAGCCTCCTGGAAAATGAAGAAAGAAAAGGGATAATACACTACGTTGCCTCAAGTGATGATGCTAAGGTACCGACTTCAACAAACTAGAAATATGTGGGACTACACCAATATTTTTTTGAGAAGAGTAGGATATTTTTTCCCCAAAATTGGCTATTAAATATTCACATGCTTATTTAGAAATAAGAACACTTAATGAAAGAAAATTTTCTTTAGGTAAAACATCTCCATTCCATTATTTTTTTATTCTATTCCTTTATCTATTTACACAAAGTGCGGTATTTTCATGGGTTTATTCCTTAGAAAAATTCCTTAATGAAAATGTCCTCAATTTTCTGTTAAAATGGGACTGACTTTGGCATTATTTTAAACTCTATTGATTTAATGGAGAGTTAGCTCAGAACAAGTACAGAATGTTGCCAGAACTGTAGAGTCAGAGCATGGGTGTTGTTGATCCTTTGGGTTCTGGACATTAATGCCAGTTTCCACAAAAAATGCCCACTTGGATCACTGTACACCTCATCACAACAAAAGAACAACTCTAGCAACCTTTACAGGGCCTGTGACGGAGATTAATTGCAGCAAACATGTAGCAGCTATATCAGTGATGATTTTTGTCTCTGCTCCTGATTAACTTGCAGCTGGCATTGTGTCAAGCTACCTCAAAATAAAACCTGGGTACTCTAAACATAAAGAAAACTTACTTTTGATGACATCTTAAATGATGTGTGATTTAAGTGTCTATAGCTCATAGGTGAACTGTATTTCAACTCTTTTTTTTTTTTTGTGCAACCAGACTTCCAAATCTACAAAAAACTACAAACATTGTTTTGATTATGTATGCCATAACCTTATCAAACTGATTGATTAAACTGATCTCTTGTTAACAGCATTCTGGCAGCTCCTAAAGATGGAAATTAGTGTACAAAAGGGTGACAAACTACAAGTGGGGTGTGAAACTCGATGTAAATGGCAAAGTAGCATAACAAAAACTGGCATAGCATTTAGGTCTTCTCAGTTTGCTCTCTGTGTGTGTCTGTGCTAAAGTTCAGCAAGGGAGTGTACTTAAGCAGGAAAAGCAGCTGTTGGGGAAAACAATGACCCAATCTCCTTAGCGGTTTTGTAATGATTTTATTGCATTCATACTGAAGTTGTTGCTTTAGAATATCCATGGCTAAAAGCATCCAACCCTTCTTTACCACTAATATTCTTACATTTACACAGAGATTGTTATAATCCATTCAAAAGCATATGTTTTTAAATGCACATAAAGTAACATAAAAAAAGAATTTTGTCCCCATAAACTCCTATATGTAGGGGCTATGGAACCCTTTCCACAGCTTTAATGTATTATTTATGCCATAATTTCTCCCTACTAAGGGAACTTCTGAAAGTTCTCTTTGCTATCTACTGGTGTTTAACGATGAAGACACTCTCAGACACTCTTGTTTGCCTCCTAACTTTGAATATGTCTTCTCTCCTATGTAATAAAGCTTGGCAGAAAAATGACATTAAAGGCACAGACTTGCCTGAGCTGGCCAAATTCTGCCTCTTACTGGCATTGCGTTTCCTGGGTAGCTTTCAGTATTTGCCTGGATTTTTGCAAGTCATAGCTTGCCATCTTCAACAGGAGGATAATCATTAGTAGAGAGCTATTAGAAAGGATAACATGCTTGTAGCAGACCTTAAGCCCCAGAAGAAGTAAAGAGGGTATAAAGCTTCCCTTAATGTGAATTTTCAAACATTTGCCCAAGTACTTGCTTCAGTTTGAGAGGACTTTGCATAGCTGTGTGATAAACTTAATAATTACTGGATTTTATTTAGAAAAATGTGCCTGGGGCTGTGCATGGAATTTAGCTATGTCTCCTACCAAAGCCAAATGTGCCCCACTACTAAATTTTCAGGACAATGTACCTATCTTGTAAAACCTCTTTCTTATTTTAAAATGGATAAGAGAATCAAGACAACATCCCTTTAGCTTTTTCAGGGACTCCTGAACTGACAGTTTGCCTTAAAGCATCTTACATATGAGTACAGGAAAGATGAAACATACTAAAGGAAGTTCATAAATAGTTGTAAGTAAATGAACCCATAGTTACAGAAATCTAGAAAGTTTATCACTGGATATTATTTGTTAGTTCATTGTCTTATACAGAATAATTACTTCTTCCCAAAAATTTTTTTAAAAAGGGTATTTTCCTTGGGAAATTATCAATTTAAACAAGTAGCTGTTGGCTTATCACCTGTCTATGCACTGAAAACTGATACACAGTAATGCAAATAGCAAGAAACCAGGAAGCATAATCTCAGCTCAAGGTTAGTACTAGTCACATAAGGCAGAGAGTCTCACCAAAGTATTCTGCTGTACATAAAATCAGAAACCAGGAGAATTTTAATCAGTTTTTGATTTCTGTAGCTGACAAACATTAAGTTAGACATAGTCCTTAAGTCCTTAACAGTTTGCAGCAAAACTAGAAAAAGCTGTGACATTACTTAGGGCCCTGTCACCCTTCCTTCTTAAAAAAAAAAAAAAAGCATCTTGATTGAACTGTGTCATGTAAGGTTACCTTTTACAAGGATAACAATGAGCCTTCAAGAGAGGATGCTCAGTCTGCCCATTACTCTGGAATTGCAGGGAGAAGTTCAGAGGTTACACAGATTTATCTTTGTTAGCAAGACCCACAAGAGGATTTACTCATCTGTGTACTGTGGATTCTCAAATTTTTGGTAATGCTTCCTTTATTCTAGACATCAGGAGTTGCTCATGGCTTGGTATGGATTTTTAATATAACACAAATGATAATCAGCAGAGGCAGCACATTTGCTTTTTAGTTTATTAGCATTGTTCAATGTATTATTGCCATGACTAGAGAGAAAAAAATATTAGTTATATGACTTTCATTGATGGCACCAGGAACTTGAGCTTCAGTTACATGAAGATGTTATTTGCTCTTTGAATTATCTGCAGTATTTGTCATGTCTGGCATTTGGCCATCAGGAAAATATTACAAAAAGTAATTTTTCATTAACTTCTCTGAGGAGGACATCTCAGAGGTTTCCTTTATAGTTAATAGTTTGCTTAATAGTTAGCTCTTTTCAAAGGCATTGGCGCTTCAAATTATTATCATCATGATTAACGAACATTGTTCTTCATTTTATGACCTAAGGAGGGGATGAAAATGTTTTCTAGAACAGAGTTGGTTGTTTGTTTTTTTGTTTCCAAAGGACTTTGATTTCTATAATATGGCCATCTGAGTGTCATACTGAGAGGTGGAGTTTGACATTTCAGGATACAGACTGGTTCTGTGTGCTATGAAAAACCTTTTCTAACTAGTAAAAATCATGAGGATATGGAGATAAAATAGTATTTTCATTATTCCTTCAAATTTAAAGTAATCATGTTCTTGGGGGAAGACTAATAGCAAAAGGGATTTTGCTAATAAACCATGTTGACCCAGTGAATAGACCCAGAGAACAAGGCTCAGGCTGAGGGAAAATCAACTATGACTTGCCTGACTCCATGTTCTCTGCCACAAAACACACTGAATGTATCTTTCAGGTTCCCATCACTAGCTCTTTCCTCTCTTCTTAATGGTCTTTGTTCCATGACTGAATGTTGAGTCTGCTCTGGCTGGCATAGCCAGTACCATGCTCTCACAGGACTCTCTAGAGCACTACAGTGAGATTTCCTCCTAGCACACAGTTTACATGCACAGCTCACACTTGGTTTTCGCTTACACAGCCCCTGCTTAGAGCTTTCCTCCTGGACGTGAGAAATAATTCTTGCTTCTCACTCAATCAAATTTCTAATCTGTATATTTGGGCTGATTGGGTTCTCTGCCCTATTGTTCCCTTGTCAAGCTCTTAAAATTTAAACAAAATCCTGCTTTTTGCACCAAGCCATCTTCCTGTGACACCAAATATACCCATCCACTTTCTCACCATGATTCTACAAAAATGAGGTGTTTGAAGCCTTGCATAGTCTTTGACACTGTCTAATCTGTGTCGTACTTTACTGTTCTTCATAGAAACACTGGATATGTTCTCATGTTTTGTTTGGGTTTTTTGTTTGGCTGTGTTTGGTTTTTTTCCCTTCTTAATATAGCCGTCCCATACTCTTTTGTCAGTTTGTTTTCATTTGCATGCAAACTACGAGGTTTTTGTGGTGCATTCGTCCCACAGCCTCTGCTTTAGTCTGCTGCAATGACCCTCAGGTATAAGCACACAAACGGTGCTTGGCAAAAGTGTGTCTTCTCAGAAGACCCATTTTTATTTCTGTTTCTGTCATTCTACTTACAAAGTCATAGTAGTTCATACACAACTCTTTAGTTAGTCATAGTAGTTCATACACAAATCTTTAAAAACACGTCTTCCAAAATGCTGGCTGAAGGACTGGTGCCATTAAAGAAGGCTAAGAGATCAGCAATACTAAATGCAATTCCTTTAACTCTTTCCATTATTTCTCCTAATATACGTCTGCCAAAGTTTTTATGTATTTCTCTAACTGGAGTACTATTTTTGAGGAAGTTATAGAAACAAAGGGACAAACCCAATGAGTGTTTGTTCTTTTAAGAACAAAACAGTTTGAGGTAAGTACACATGGAGTTGTTCCTTGTGGATGCAAGAGGAATTGTCTAACAGTATTACTTGAAAAAATATTGTGAAAAAATCCCATACCAAGTTTTCAGTTTTGGAATACACCTACCCAGAAGACAAGATATTTTACACCTTGTATCCTGATAAAGAGAATGCATTTATTTGGCACTAAGCCCTCTGGTTTTGAGTGTGTTGCTTCTGTAGCTCACAGCAAAAAGTATTAGCATTTTTAACTGGTCAACTCATTGAAAACATTCTGACATTACAATTCCTGGCTATAAGCTTGAGCACATGTGCAAAGCTTTCTGGTTATTTTAGGCACTGGCTAACTTTTTTTTAAAATGCCTTTCAATTATCCAGCATTTTATAAAAAATTCAATCTTGCCACTTCACTGGATTACTTCATAGCCTGAGAATTACTTCATTTTTTGCAAATTCCTTTTATGACCTTCATGTCTTTCCTTCTCAAAGGGATAGAAACTGTTTGGGAGGTTAAGCAAATTTTGTCATGATGAATTCCTTGTAGTCTAATGCTTTACACACTTCAGCTGGTGTACTGTCTTGTCTCATTGATTTCTTATACTTTGACCTTTTTACCAGTCTTTGGCATTTGTCACAGTAGCAGCATATCTGTATGTGCTTTGTCTTATTTCACTCAGGAGTTTCTCCCAGTTATTTTATTTGAAGTTTCTCAGAAAATAGATAACATCTCCCAATTATTTCATCATCTTCCACCAGCACTCTATTTACTTCAGATAACGTTTTCAGAATTTTGGTCATCAGCTTTCACAACAGCTTCTTTCTTTGGTCACCTTTTCGTGTTGTTGGTGTTTTGTGAGGTGACCTTACTAAGAATTACTGAGCTATTTGTCTTCTGCCATTACCTCAGCTTCTCCTTGAGCTCTTTGTGAATATCAGTGGCTGCCATCAGGCCTCCACTGAAGTGGCCACCTATTGCCTGATGCCAATAGGTACTGTGCCTTCAGTATTGTTTGGCTGAATATTTTTTTGCAAATCCAAAAGTATCATCATAATAAGTTTGATCATCTTATGACTTCCAAAGACCCTCGCTATTAGAACTGCAAACTAACACTTCTCTGTTCCTAAATCTGCCTCATTTTAATGCCATAACATTTTGTTTTGATTAATGCTTTGCTCAGAAGTCCTTAAAAAAGCTTCTTAGTACTTCATAACCTATCTCAAGATGACTTTTTCACATACATGTTATATTATTTATAGATATGCTATTTATATTTTCCCCTCTTATTGGAGATATCCAATTCAGAATCTGCTTATAGCATATTTGTATGCAGATTAATGCTCTTCATGCAGCAGAAGTAGTCCTACCTCAGGATATGACAGGGTTTGCATTTTCTTTCTTGTGTAGAACTTCACCCTCTGACATTCACTGCAGTAATTCTGTGTTACCCCTTTTATTAAACAAGACCTGTTCCTACTATAATCATACATCAACTTGGGAACTTAGTACTCAATACAATCTGAAATTCCTGAAATTCTTCATTTTCATCTGCTTCTGTTCCTAAATAGTGATACAGGTAGCCATCCCTGCTGCTGATTTGCCCTTTTCATTCAGTCTCTTGTGTACAACCACAGTGCAACACTCTTCCCTTTCTATAAACTTGAGCTATTTTGATAGATTTCCCACACCTGTTGCTGCACCCAGGGTATCAATATAGCCATCTGTACTGCAGCCGTATTAAGCTTTGCCTATTTTCTACCCCTTTCTGCCAATACTCTGCTTGCTCCAGCTCCTACTAATGGACATGATAAGCATGTTCTCTGAAGATGTAAAATCCAAAAAGCACACTTGATTGTCACAACTTTTGCAGACTAAAGTGGTCAGGCCTGGCACCTTCAACAAGGAATTTGAGACAGCATTCTTTGAAATTAAGGATTGTAGTCCAATCTATGTACTCCATTATACTACTCCACATCTGTGAATCAGATAAGCACATTTGGTAAGGAAAATTTGTGTTCCCACAAAGCAAGCTGGAAATGTTTGTCCAAACCTGTGTACTGTCCTGAGACATTCCCCAAGGTGCTAACACCTATCCTTAGACACCTCCCTATCATGAAAATGTTTCTTTTAAAAACGAGCAAGAAAAGGAAGAAGGCCAATCTTTTTTTCCTCTCTCCAGTTACCCAATCATTGCATTAAAAGCAGAAACTTTTGTATAGGCCTTGATTCTATCTACAGCACAACACAGGCTGCTGTGTCAGCCAACCAAATTTGAGCATCTCTGGTTTGTGAATTCACTGAATTTTGTCTTCATATTGGTTGCTGGTGGTCATGTGTATGATTTGATACAGCTTGCTAACTGAACATTTCTCAGCTTATTTAACCTGTCTCCACTTTCCTACTCACCCTCTTCTTCCATGTCTTCTGTTTGTATGCTTAGATAACTCTAGTCTTTAGGGGTCAATGAAATTTGTGGAGAAAGGGCATTTTGCCGCCTATTGCATTTTTGCTGTGATGCCAACTTGAAGAGAGAGCTTTAGTAGAATCTGGGTTCTTTTCAGTGTTTAGTTGTCATTACAATCACTTATTCAAAACTTTAAAATACATCTCCTTTATTTTTGTTTTGTTTTATTTTTTTTTAGCAGGAAGAAATGACACCTTACTCCTTGCTCACTGTGAGAATCATAAAGTTGAAAAATGCTCATCAGGCAGATTTTTGTAAGTATCAGATTTTCTTGTTGACATTGCACTGTTCTTAAATTACTGGTTTAGCCCCTGATTGTGCTAGATACTGTAAATCACACTAGCTAAGAAATCACAGTCAAAGGCAATTTCTGCCACAGAATCTTTATTTCCAGTTTCAGTGGCTTATTGGGTTGTTTGCTTTTTTTCTTTACATTACTTATCTGACAAGTTGTCTATATCAGAGATGTAAAAATATCTTAACACCAGTTTTAATATGCAGATGTTTATATCCCATGTCCATGACAAATGCATAGAATATAGAGCTGAAATTCTTACACATCAGTCCCTCTAAATTCTTTGCTCTAAAGAGCCCTGCCACATCTCAGAAGTCGAGTGAGGTATCTTGTGTACATCTCCTAGCATCCAAGCATTATAGCATCATAACATCAGCCACATTGTTATGGATGTTTCTGACTCTTGCCCCCAAGAGAAAGATATCTAACAGAAATCTTTTGGAGACAGTAGTACATAATATGTTACAGCTCACATGCAAAATGCTCTGAAAATGTGTGATATTTGGCCAGCCCTTACCTGGTGGTCTACATTCACAGAGGGTTTCCTCTGGAGAATTTTCTCCTGCCATTCCTAGATGTGTCTCATGAATTTGACACATCACTAATGACTACAGTTTTACATATCCCTTTATCATACGTCGATCTCTTGGTCTGCATTTTCTTTCCTTTTTGGGAGATCATGATGAAGTTTGCTGAAGCCATAATATCCTACAGATAAAAGTCTCACCATCTCTGTGTATTCCACTCTCTTTGATGTTTCAAAACCATGAATGTCACCATTGCCAATTTTCCAGTCCAGTGGAGAGAAGTGTTCAGCTCACATAGTCTGTAATATTGGGTTGCAGAGAATAGAAAAAATATTATAGGACAGCAAAGAAGGTCAAATTAATTTCTATTCCTGTTGACAGCTATGAAGCACTACATGTATGTACAAGACCTCACCTTCAATCCTTTGAAGTGCTGATTTAATTTCTGTCAGTATCGCCTTTGGTCTATCATGGAAGTTGAATTACAAGATAAGATCCATGATTCAGCAGCTTACGCAAAGGGATTGCACAAAGTAAAATGATGCTGCATTCTCAGAAATAGTATTACTGTTGAGACCTTGTCCTTCATTCTGAGGACAGTGTGGTTTCTGAGAAAGTCTTGCTTAGTGATATGGAGACATTTTGAGAATTCCCATTATCAGCAAAATGTACATCCCTTGAGTAGGACTCAAGATGTGTGGGCTCTGTCAATAGACTTTTTGTATAAGAAGTTTAAGTACATTTATACATCCAAACACTCTATGCCTCTGTTGCCCTGTTTACAAAACATGGATAACCAAATACCTTCTCCCACACATTTTGTCTCTCTTATCTATTTAGGTGATGTGCTCATTTTGAATTTTTTATTATGTGTAGAGGGATTCTAATTTAAGTTGTGAGGCAAGGCCCAGAAACACTGAGAAGTATCTTCAGATTCTTTTGTTAATTACTGGTAAATCAAATCTAGAGAACAGCAGGTAAGAAAAGTATGTCTTTTCTGTCTGTTAGTAATTCCCCCAGGTACTCCATGACTTCTTAAGGATGTCATATCAAAATGAAGCACTTTAAACCAGCATGCTATTGAACAAGGAAGATAAACAAATATTAGATAGCTCTTCGTTAACTGAGCAGCAACCTTTGAAAGCCTGTGCTTTCAAAGAAACTGGAGTCTCAAAGGAAAAATAGTGTGATATGATGTGATTTAAATACTTCAGTACAATGCCAAAAAGATATATTGTACCTTTTAAGTGATTGAATTGCACTGGTACTGATGTACTTTCAGCTTAATGTTTCAGTTTTAACATTTGTATGCATTTGAAGTATCAGAAAAGTAATATAGCTAAACGTGCTAGTGTGTGCTAATGAAAATTAGAAAATTGTGTTTACCTAGTCTTTTCTCAGCAACATGATGTTTCTTCTGGAAAACTGATAATAAGCTGCTGATACAGGTGCTATCTGACTGTGAGATATCTGTGAAAGACTGACAATTTTTTTTAATAACATATTTCAGATTTCCCTATATTTCCATCTTCCCTGTATCAAGTCTAGGAACAAGCCACCTTTCCAAAAAAGTGCAGCAGATTCTTTGATGTACTTTTTCTGTCTGCATGCTGACTTCCCATCTTTCCTGGTATGTGCAATTATCTGCTTGATAGAGTTCCTGTTCACTTCATTTTGGCTAAAAAATGTTCCATTCCACATTTTTCAGTTAGTTGCAAGTACTGCCACACTAGGTCCTTTGGTCACAAAGTTTCTATATTTTTCCCTGACTTACTTGCCAAATCTTGGCTTTGTGGAATGCCACTTGTATATATGTCCACTGACAGTCCTAACTGTCTTGTGCACCCAACTTAATCTTGGCTGTTTTGTAAACTCACATGTCAAGATCCATGGGATGTGTTTCACAAGCCTGGGATGAAGTCCCAGCTTATCCTGAAAAATGGTGTTACACCTTTGCCTGTAGACAGCACTTGCTGGTGGAGTTTGGCACACAAAAAAAAGAAATTAAACCAAAAAGAATGCAGCCCACCCCTCAATGGATCAATTAACCTTTTTCATATACCTACTGTTGCTCCACCACTTTTGCAGTCTCCTCTATACTTAGGTGATGTTCCACTCCAACATTTGTTTTGTAAATACTTCATATAACTGGTTTCTGTCTTGCCTTATCTTATCATGCAAATGCTCTTGGCAGACCTGAGCTAATTATTTTCCACTGTACTCCTAAATAACCTTTATGCCAAGTAGTAGTCATGGGTCAGACTCAAATATTTCTGGCACTCCCTGTCCTCACTGTGAGCACTAGAGAGGAGGGTGCCCAGATAAGATCACTAGCACTCATCCTGCTGCCCTGCAGGCACTGGGTGTCATCACCAGGCTCCAATGCTGTATGCAGTTAGGCTGTGAAGGTGCTGGGCATACTAGAGAGGAATCAATTCGGTTGAAGTTTATGGGTCTCTCATAGTCTGGCATCTGCTTTGTGGTGGCATCTGTATCTCCTCAGTCTGGAGCTGCAGACAGCCTTGGATAAAAGAATTACTTTTTAGGTCATCAGTGTGTCCATTTGCTCCTCAGCTGTAGGTCAGTGCCAAGGCCCTTTACAAAAGCTCATCCTAACTCTATTAATAGCATCACTTCTTCTACAGAATTCCCCATGTGTGGAAGGAATATCTGGCAAGGATGAGGTGTCAGGGGAAATTGTGTATTAGCTGCTTTCCTTGCTGCTAACACCCTTTCAGTGACTCTGCTTCCCAAAAGAATGAGAAAGGATCAAGGTAATGGGGGAGGAGGACCATGGTGGCACAGGCTCTCCAACATCTTCCAGCTCCTCTCCTTAAACAAATGAATTATTGGGTGACCATACAGAGCTGGCCCACCTTCACCATCATTAATGTTTACTTGTTTTGTGGCAGCCCCTAAATCCCACAGCTGAAGCTGACACCTTACCTTGCTCCCATAAACAAATAGACCATCAGTGAGGGGATCAGCCTCATCTGCCATGCTTGAAGCCCAAGCGCTAAGAGAGGAGATTTGCCCTGAGATGCTGCAAGTAGGAGGAAGCCTCTCCCAGGTGTCCTTAGACAACACAGGTGATAGACCTGCAGTGGTGTGGTCTCTCCACCACTACTTAGTGCCTTGTGAAAGAGCAAAACTCTGTAGGACTCCACTGGCTCACATATGATCCTGAATACCTGAGTAAAGAGGTCTCTGTGACAATACTGCTCTCTGAAACTCTGGCAGCCTACATGGGTACTAGCTGATTCCACATTCCAAGAGCTGATCTTTGCTGCTGAAGACCATGTTCAGGCTCACTAATGCAGATGGGGTGAAGAGTGATGGTGTCAGGTCTAGTTTGACATATTTGGCCTCAATGGTGATGAATGTTAGCAATACTTGGCCTGGACTGCGGAGGTGAATCTGAGATGCGTGTCCAATGAGAAATTACTTGGAGTGAATTTCAGGCTGACAGGTGCTTTTTTCTGTGAGACAGTAACTTCTCTGAGAGGATTTGTCTTGCCAGATCAAGAGGCTGTGAGTAGAGGCATCCCTGTGCTGCAGTAGTCAAGAGTTGAAGTAGGAAACTTACAATCTTAGATTGTGACTGGAAATGTGACTGTGCTTATTAGGTATATTTTGTAACTGTAGAAATCAGGAGCATGTGGAAGCTATGTCAGCTGTGGAAAGAAACCTGCCAGTCTTAACTGGGAAGTCAGAACAATCATTGTTCTCCCTCTACTCTTCCTTTTGTTTTTAGACCTTCCTCTCATTTTCAGACCTTCCTTGCTTTTTCAGATCTTCCTTTCATTTTTCATCTTTGGATGAAGAGTGACCTTGCATACATATAAAGGAGGAGCTCAGAGACTTTGTCTTCTAACAGCTTATGAAATTATTTTGTGGAAGCTCTTATTTTCTCCTTTCAGAAGAAATGAGTCAGTTCTGGGGTGATACACTTGGAGTCTTTGCAAATCAGAGTGGTTCTCCAGAGATATTAGGGGCTATTATTGCTACAGAAAAGAAGCACAAGCAAACTAGGTAGAGTACAGCTAGTGCAGGGTATACTAATGGTCCTACCGCAAAAATGCAAGTGGTGCTGGTGGGAGCACAGTGGTGCAGGAGGAAGACCCAGAGTGTGAAAGCTTTGTGCTGGGACTGCAACAGGTACTGCACCCACTGAATCTGCTCCAGGGAGAAAATCCTACTTTGCCACTTGACTTAAATGGCTGGACAGGGTGGAGGGTTCATATGGGGACTCTGTTCACCCCTGGTAAAGGACATCACTGATTAAGCATGGTAGATCTACAAGCTTTTGTTATTTCCATAAGCAAGTTATAGAGAGTAATATTGTGCTTACAGATGAGTGTTGCACCTGGATACTTGTAGAGGACTGAGTTCAGTTTAAATCTTCTCTCAGATAGACAGCAGTAGGAGGTAACTTCTTAATATTGTTTTATCATATTATGCCAGAGAGGGAAAATGTTCTCAGACACCATGCCCAATGATTGAGAAATGGGAGTGGCTCTCCTCCTCCTTTTGGATGAACTGCAGTAAACTGGAATTCAAGGGGAACCTGTCTGTGCAGGTGGAGAGGATTTCACTAGGAGAAAATTATTTCTTTGTTTTGATGTTACGAAATGCAGTAATAGGACAGATGGGATTTTACAGTTTACATTCATTGTTCTTATAAGACTAATTTTTCTTATATGCTTTGGTTTTCAGTGCTGTAATTTCCTTCTTACTTGTGATGGAGATGAATGATTTTAGCATGTGATGGTTCATTTCAGGTACAGCTCACAGGACTGTACTGTCACAGAGTAGCAAGCAGACGGCTGCAGTTTTGAACTTCTTGTTTTGGTCTTGTATTTTTAGCCCGTCTTTAGCTTGATGACAGAGATCAGAAACAGTCCCACCAACACACAAATTGAATTAGAAGTTAAAAATTGTGAAAGAATATCAGGGTCACTTTGTGCTGACTTTCAAAGAGACTGTGAGTTGAGAAGTCTCAGCATGCACATGAGGGTGACATTATGTCATCAGGTAATGAAGCTGAAACACGTGCACTGAAGTGAGGGCCTGGCATGGCATGGAACTGCTAATGAAGCCCAGCAACTGCATTACACCTGGAGTATTAAGAAAATGCAAATATAAAATTTTTTTATTAGCTCCCAGGTAGCAATGAATAAAATGGAACATTTTCAGTAGCTTTCTTATACACTAATTTCAGGGATAAGAGGGAGCAATATAAGCCAGTTAGCCATTTCAAGGGTTCCCATCTAATAAGGATATCATAGTTTTCATAGTATTCAGCAGACATTTGACTCTCCTGTTATTTGATTTCTCTCACTGTTTGCCTCACCATTTAGCCTGGGTTCAAATGAACTGTCACTTTTAAAGAAAAGCATAAGCTCAGTTAAAGTCACAACATGGGTATCCTGCTTGTCATGTAAAAGGTGGGAGTTCAGATTTTTGCTGTCAGTCCCCCAGGAAAGTTGAGACATTGGTGTCCAATAATCTGTCAGTGTCTCGTATGGAAACACTTCACTAACAGATTCACAAGTTCAGAGGGTACCTCAGCCTCCCTTGTTAGGGAGAACTCCACAGAGCCAGGACCCCTCAGCAGGCTCATGCTCAACCAGGTGTCCACTGACATGCACAGGTCCCTCTCTGCAGAGCTGCTTTCCAGCTGGTCAGCCCTCAGCCCATCCTGGTGCATGGGGTTGTATCTCCTCATGTGAAGGACTTTGTATTTCCCTTGATAAACTTCATGAGGCCCATGCTGGCACAGTTCATCTGGACAAGCCTGTCCAGATCCTTCTGAATGACATCCTCCAGCTGAACTTTGTGCTGCTGATCACCATCCTTTGAGCTTGGAAGTTTTTAGTCTACCTCACAGTCCTTTATCTATCATGTACTTCATCAGTTTGACAAAGATCCCTTCCAACTCAGCATATTCTGTGATTCTGTAATTGTCAATAGCTTATTTTACATAAATATTTATGAAATCAACACACATATGGAAAGTTAACTTTAGAAAGTAGCCTCATGAAAATACTTTGTCAAAGAAAACACTCCAGAATGTCAGTAAATTCCAGATAAAACAGTAACAAAAGACATTCATAAATGCTGTGGCTGTCCGTTCATGCTTGGCTCAGAGTTTTAGTACTGCCATCTTTCTCAGTTGTTTCTTAGTCTTGTTTTATACACTGTATGGTGGAAAGTTGGAATTCAATATCAGGCTACAGCATTTTGGCTTTCATTAAGAAAAAAAAGAAAGTAGAAAAAGTATTGGCCTTTGCAACTACAGTAAAAATATAGAAATGAGCCCTTCCTGCACCTTATGATGGCTAGAAACTAAAAATGAGAGAAATTATGTCTCAGATCAGTTCAGAAATGTCAGTTTCTGTAGTATGTCCCATTTCAGCCTCTTTAGCAATTTTGGGGATGTTTTGGGAACACTTGAGATTGGCAGTGGTAAGTGCTCTCATTAATGGCAGGAGGGATTGTCCAGATGCCCTGAAGCTATATGTAGTTCTTGGCTATTGTACAGGCTTCCTTATGAGCTCTTGAGAAACTCTGCAGATCAGAGGCAGCGATACCACTTATCAGGACGAGCACATCACAGCTCAGCAAGCTGTCAGACAGCACAATGAGGAGAGATGGTTCAGTTATGAGACAGAGCAGTAATCAGAGCCCTCCTGCTCATAGTAAATTGAATATTATTATATTGAATATATAATAAATAACATTATAATAAATATAATAATTAAATAATAAATAATAAAACATAAGTAGTAATAATATATTAAAGTCAATTATTATTCTGTCACTTCCATTATGTAAAAATCTAAGATCCTGAAATGTTGTCATTGAAAATAATTTCAAAGACCGAAAGGCAATTTACTACCTTCTTGAGAGAAAACTCATGGCAGTGTCAAGAAATTCCTTCAAATTCAGCATGAATTGTTACACAGGAGTCTTCCTGCCTGATAGTCATCCTTCTCTGGAGGTGTCCCAGTCACAGGGTTTCTGGATTACAGGCAACGTGTAATTTTTAGACAAAATATCCCGAAGCAACACATCTAATATCCTGAACAAAGACATCAGCATAAGCTCTCTTTTAACCTTGAGCAGCTGCCACAAGACCTGTGCCTACTAACCTCCTGAAGCAGCAACTGTACTGCTGGTAGACCTCTCCCTTCCCACCCCACCTAGGGAGACAATGATCTGATCGGAGTGACTCGAATAATTAATTTTCCATCATGAAGAGTTAATAACCAGATATACCATATATTTACCATCTGAATCAGACTGAAACTTGATTCTTTTAAGATTTCTCACAAAGTTAAATTGCCTCAGAGACAATTTACGCACAAGCCCTCTCAGGGTCTGAAGCTTACACTGTGCTTCCTTTGTCACAGTTTGTCCTACCCAATTTTGTTGATAAGGACCAATACAAAACTCCTGGCTATGCATATTATCCGCTAGGTAGGACTGTATTTTTAATTTTCATGTGTAAGATTATGCACAGTTATTTGAATATACAGCTTATTAAAAATAGTGTTGTGATGAGCAAATTAATTTTATCCAGCTATGCGATTTCTGTCTTTCTGATTTGCCCTATGTGTTTGAGAAAGAACTGGCCATTTCTCATCCATGTTCAAGATATGGAGCATTTAAATGTTTCCACTGCTTGTGTCGCGGTTCTTCTGACAGATATTTTGTGCATATGTTTCTATAGTAAGTCAATCTGATTGCTATGTGAGCCTCTGGTTGCCAACTGCTTCAGATGAAAAACTCCACACCAAAACTATCAAAAACTGCAGAAATCCCGTGTGGAATGAAAGTTTCTACTTCCGGATACAGAGACAAGTCAAGGTACACAAACCAAAACCTCTCTTCTTCATTTTGTCTCTATGTAGCATCTTTCAGTTTAGAACAAAACAGGAGGTCATGTCTTCTAATGCCTTTCTGAGTTTACTTAAAATTCCCCATGCAAGCTGGAGCAAAACAGTTCTGGCTTTTGCTGGAATTCGCTTTACTCTCAACAGATATAGTTATTATTTATGTATGGGTAATGTGACTCTGACATCCTTGGGGAAGGATAACAGGAACAATGACAGTTACAGTAGAGAGAAACTATGAAATGAAAATATAAAATCACACTATAACAGAAAAACATATCTTTTCCTGAGAGGACATAAAACAATGGCATATCAATGCCAGGAATCTGCCAAATTCTAGCAAGATGATGATCTTTACTCAGTTTGCTGCTGATGGTTACACTACACTCAAATGCCTGTGAACAGGTGGCTGAAAGCAGAATATGTGTCCAAGGATCTGGAAAGGTGACTATTGATATGCAGTGTCCCTTATTGCCCCTGTTGATAGGAAACAATATAGGAATATGGCAATCCATATTCCTCCCTAAAAGATTGCATTTTTCATGAGAGCTACTTAAAAGCATAAAAGGTGACCAGAAGGATATCTCAGTTCAGCCTTAACTGATGAGACTAAGATCTATTTCTTATAAAGCAGATAATACTCACTTTCTTACTCTTCCTTGTGACATTTTTTCATCAATATTTTTTTATTTCCTCTCTGTAATACAGGAGCTAAACCTGCAAGAGCTGAAGAATATTATACTTCTTGAGTACATGCTAATGAATTGGATATTTTTCATTTCTTTTCCCAGAATGTTCTGGAAATTACTGTTTCTGATGATGACATTATTCATGATGATGACCAAGCAATTGTGCTTTTTGATGTAGCTAAAATCCCCCTTGGGGAAAGAGTGTTTAAAACATTCCCGCTAAATCCACAGGTAAGAGCTCAGTCAGACATTTAGTACATCTTAATGTCCATTCTCTCCCCTCTGATTAAAAAGGTCTCTTCTGCCTTTTACCACCGGGACCAAATTGGTAGTAAAAATGTACCAAAACTTATTAAAATCCTGGAAATTGCACACCAGTGACAAAACAAATTCCTCTTGTTTTCCACTGGCATAGGTCATGGCCAAAATCCCAAGCCCCAATGCAGATGCAATTTTAGGGAAGTTTTGCACTTTTAATAATCTGATACAAATTGACAATTTATCTAATCCTCACAAAGACTGTGAATAGAAAAAAGAAATAAAGACAGGAAAATGACCTGTTTCCACAATATTTTGCTAAACATTAAGTCTTATCATATCATGTTCAGCACATGGCAAAGATGAAGGTTTAGTAGGGAGACTTGTAAGCACCAAACACCTTTTGTTCTCCCAGTACAATTGAAATCTTATCCTTGGTGAAGACAAAGCAGTCTCTGTCTTTTAGTGCTGACAATAGCAAGCATGAAACAGAATATTGTTACTTATTAAAACGTAAAGGAAACTGTGCTTGCAAAAATGAAGGTCACTTTGAAAACCTCTGCACATACTAATGTAGACTGCTTCTTTTTTTTGTTTTCAGAGGAGGGAGGAATTGGAAGTTGAGTTTGTACTGGAGAGCATGTGAGTAAAATCCCAATATTATCAGCATAACAGCTTGGAGTGGTGCATTAGTGCAGGGAAACCTTCTGTAGACCCAGTATCATCTCAGTAGCCAGATTCAATATTTTTCCAAACTTGATGTGTTCATTAACAAATCATCCTATCAAAGAAAAAATCCCATGATGTGGAGGAGAGTTCCAAATTTTTAATTCTGTGACTTTTTAGTAAGATTTATGTATTACTTACATAGTTCAGAGTTGGATGCTAAATCCCTCTGCAGTAAGTTTATAGATTTACTGTACAGCATTCTCTGGGAAAGTCGTGACTGAGGAGAAGGTTGCTACCCATCCTGTGATATACTTGTGCTACTAAGGCTGTTACAAGCACATTCCAAGTGCTTTATTGCAATTTAATAATTTCTACTGGGTCATTATGTGGGATATAGCATAAAGGGAGCATACTTCTGAAGACCATAAGAAGGAGCAAATAAAATAATAGTAATAAAAAAATTAAGAGAGAATAGTGTGTCCTGTTCAGGACAGTATCCAGAATATATTGTTTGTAAAATACATATTATTTATTCTTGTTTTCTAGCCTGGATCCTCCTGAAACCATCATCACAAACGGGGCAATAGTGGTAAAATATTTGTTTGGTTTTTTTGTGTTCTTTCCCACATTATTCCTTACCCTAGCTGACCATAATGTCAGTGAGGGAAACTTTCTCTTAATGATCTTAGTATCTTAGCGATACTTTCTCTTAGAAGCTTCTTCTTTAAGGAGACCAGCATGATCTTAGAGAAGCTTTCCGACTATTATGATTTTCCCCTGTTTTGTCTGCATCCACTGAAACTTGCAATGTGTTTATCAGAGCACCATCTTCCCATGTGACAATGAAGTGAATTCTCACTTTCACTGGGTATGGCAAAGGTCTCCAACACAGTTGGCCCCCACATTCAAGCAATGCCCCTGCCAACATCTGCCAGCACTGGTGGTGAGGTGGCTGGATGAGTTCTCTAATTTTTCTGTCCCCATCATGCCTACTGTAGTGTCGTGAGGAAGCCTGCTTGGAAGTTCACTTGGACAGCAGAATGCAAAAGAAGCGTTTTTCAGGTAAGTTTATTAATTGTTAAGCTTATTAATTGTTTAAATGAATATTATTGTTTCTACCCTCTCTAACAAGGCCTAGAAATTGAATCATCAAAATAATAAGGTTTTAATTGATCATATCAAAGGTGATTTGTAAAAATTCTTCAGTGGGGAATGCCACCAGTCCTGCAGCAGGTGTAGGCTCAGGGTTCCAACTTCATGGGGAGCCTTGTGCCAGAGTACAGAAACAACATCAGGTGCTTGTACAGAAGGTATCTAAGCCCCAAGCTGAGATCCTGGAAACCTCTGCTATAGTACTGCTAAACCCTGAAGAAGCCTAATTGCTCAAGCACAGTAGTCCATAACCTTAACTCTCCTCAGCATTTCTGTCAGTTCAGCTTCTGCATGTGCACAGCAACACCTCATTTTTTGCAGGGGTTAGCCACTCAGCAGCTGGCTCCTGCCTGACCCTGATCAAGATCCAGAATCTAGAAGTTCCTCTGCCCACATCCCCTGAGAGGCTGGATCTGGTAGGCGATTTCAGAGCATGCGTAACACACACTGGCAGGATTAGCTAATCTCTTCATATAAATAGGGTCATCTGCTGCAGAGTAATATCTTATTTTAGGGGACTAAGAACTTCTTTTGCTCATTGAGATGAGGATGATTTGCAATGTAAAGTACCTGTTTGTATTCATTGTGTCATGGTGCAATTGCAACAGAAATACATCAGTCTTAAATTCAGTGCCATTCACATTACACTCCAATTTGACTTCTTGCTTAGCACATTACAAAGATACAGTCACCTGAGATATTTGGGGTTTGGATCACTTTCAGAAGACAGCTTTCCAAATATAAAAGAAGAGAAGGAAATTGTTCAAAGCTACCTTTTGCTTCTTTTTTCCCCCATTCCTTTTTTTGCAATTATAAGTAATTCTGTGTGTGTATTTTATCTCATTGTTTTAGAGAATGAGCTAATATTTACAGTGAGTGGATCCTTTGAAGAAAGCCAGACACTTTCACTGGGCTGTGACTCCCGCTCCCCTCTCCCAGATCCCGCTTTCTTCCACTATGCCAGATACAAGCAACCCTCCCTGGATGTTACACTCACAAAGAAGAGGAAGCTTCCCACCTTTGTACGTTACTCCAGAACGTGGTAGACAACACAGACAGTCCTGTGACCTGACATTACGTGTGAGTAGGCAACAAGAGAAGAACATTTCTGTCTTAACCAAAAAGCACTCCATGCTACTTTTCAGTGTGCTTGTGTGTCATGTGGAGCAAGGAGGAGAAGCATCCCCCTGAGAATCCCTTTGAAGTCACTCCCTTGTGAGCGGGAAGTAGTTGGTGAGGTAAGTGTCTGCTGGCTATGGGGAATCCTTTACAAGCTTTTTTAAATTGTTTGTGATTACCAAGAAGCAGAAACTAAAGACCACTTCTCTCTTTACAGAGATAGTTTTTTTCTAACCCAACCTTCAATCTAGGGCAATGCATAATGAAGTGAATTATTTGGAGAAAAACAAAATGGGGAATCCAGAGGAGAAGGGGGAAAAGGAAAATATCTAGGCTGTTGCTCACGCTTCTTCTATTCTCCATGTACTTAACCAGGCTGGAATTCACTAGGAGCCACTGGGAAGAGGGGTGAGGCTGCAGCCTGGTACACTGCTACAACAAGGCACCTCGTGCCACAAGTCTGGGGTGCTCAGCCTTTATGTCTTTCCCTTCTGTCTGACGTTGTTATGAGAGAGGATGAAGTTACTAGGCCCATGTTTAGTGGTGGACTTCTCCAGGGAGGTGAGGTGTAGCCCTCCAGCTCTTGTGTTACTTATTTGTGTATCAAACTAGTATCAGCACAAGCTACACCCAAGTTTCACAACAGAGAGAAGATGTGGACTACAGATGATAGTACTGAAGTCTTAATTTATTAAATCAGTGAACACTCTGTGTACTAGTGAAGCCTTGAGAGGAGAGCCTATCTTCCCAATCTCAGTTGATTAAGATTCAGAGCTTTGTAAATGTAATGATGAGTCAAAAGGGGAAAAAGAACTGTTTTAAATATAATATCAATATTCATAATTTTATATTTTTAATTTTCAGCACAGAAAAGTTGATTTACGCTTTAAGGTGAAAAAATGGTAAGACATCTGTGGTTTTCTCCTTGGTTCTTTGTATTCAGGTAGCTGTCAATCCAGTTCCTTTGTTACTGACTTTGTGTCCTGAATGAGGGTTTATCCTCATTTCAGTCTATAAAATAAAGTGAACTCAGTACACAACACAAAAATTTTCAACAGCTATGAATTTATGTGATGGGACAGTGAGTTAAGAAAAGGTTTAAAAAAGAACACATCAATTTTCTATTCATATTGTGTTGCAATCAATGTTACATTGTACGGACCACTCTGATATCTCTATAATTTATTGTCAAATGCAGATTTTCAATAAAAGCATCATTTCAAATCTAATTGAAAACAACCTTTCTATTTCCCAAGGGGTTTATTTAACTGTTTTCTTTCACTAAAGGGCCAAAATCAGAGTGCTCTATGATATGAAAAAAATTGAAATAATAGATGTACCTTCATTTATTTTTTTCAATGTGTTCTCAAAGAGATAAATGCAAATAAACTCAAGTGATGCTTATTTCTAAAGCAAGGAAACACATTGTGTATTTTGGAATATGGTTAAGGCCTTAATACAATTTATAAGATGAATATGTTGCATTGTGTACCACACTGTAATGGAAGAGAACTTCCAAAAAAGCAGGTTCTATCATGCTGTTTGTTTTCAGTAAATATGCTATGAGATATACATACCACTTACAGCAGTCATTTAAAAATTTCCTTACCACACCTAAGAAGAATTTTCATAGCAGCTTCCAAACTATGAAAGTAGTGCTTATAAATATATATTAAAAAATTGATTGTGTAAATCTACAACTTCAGTACACGTTTCACAGGTGTCAGTGGAAGTTTGCACAACTTTTAAAAGCCACCTTTAAAACACTGCCCTCTGCAGGCTTCTGGATTTATGTCTGAAAATGAACGATTGTGTTATATGTAGCTATATTTAATTTCAGGTACCTTTGGCAGGGGGAAAAAAAAAAAAAAAAGAGGAAGAAAACCCCTCAATTCAAAGAAAGATGGATTATTTTTCTCTAGGAAAAAACTTGAACATGTAATATCTTTCTGCTATGCTTTATATAGACCTGGTAGGGAAGGCATGTCTATTTGTGAAGTAGAAGAAATTAAAATGCTGACTTAAACTACAACTGTCATGTAAGATACCTGATACTTGTTCCAGTCAGGAAGACCTAGATATACGCCTGGGGTTTGACCTGTGTGACCAGGAACGCGATTTCATCCGCAAGAGGAAGAAGGTGGTTGCAGCTGCTTTGAAGGACATTCTCCAGCTGGAAGAGAACTTGCAGGATGATGAGGTATCTGAGACACAACTATTCTCTGCTTTCTCCACAGATGAATGTCAAAACATATCACTGATGTTTACATTTTCCTGGACACAGTGTACAGTTTCAAGTACAAGCTATGGCTGAGTTCTTTTTTCTGTGGCTGATTTCTTTATTCTAGGGAAGAAATGAGTACTCATAGGAAACATTAATAAAAACCTTGTAGCCCTGTTGCTACAGAATGTAGCCTTGTGTTTGCTATCAGTCTGCACCGTAATGCAAAGAAGGGCTAGGTGTTCTCAGAACCTAAGCCAAAGCTTCTTTTAGGCCCCATAGGCATCTTGGCCAGATCTAAACTGTTGATTCAGCACATCATTCCCTCACAGTTAAAACTGGACTTCATTTTGTTTATTTTTTGTGCCATCATTTAGGTTCCTGTTGTGTAAGCCCAGCACACTGCCAGTCTGACTTCATCATCTGCTGTAGCCTCTGCTTGCTTGGCAAATGGGATTAATAACAGAGGTTCCAAGGCAGGGGGGAATTTTTGATTGTGTGCCCACAACTGCAGTGTGAAGCCTGAACTCAAATGCAGAGATGACAAGTTTTCCTTGTTTTGACCTAAATTGAGTTCAGCTCTTTTTGCACAGCTGGACCTTTCAGACACAAGACCTTGCTTCTAAATTCCAGGACTAAGCTATGGGCCATTTCCTTCCCCTCAGATGTAGAGGCACCCATACTTCCCTGCAGAACAATCTCTCTAGATTGTCCTGATGATTTGTACATGAGACTAATTCATCCCAGTGCACAGTAACTGTCTTTACTGTTAATGGAGCCAATTTATATTCACAAAATTAATTCTTTTTCTAAGACTGCTAGTCCCTGGATTTCCATATGATCACAGAAAGAAGTAATTGCAGCTCACTTGCATACCTAGTATTGTATGTGCACATGGGGTAGGTGGAGTGAGCATTGCTTCTCTTTCCCTACAGCAACTGTAAAGGGAGATGGCATGACCAGCCTCTGGTCTCTGGCATTCTGAACTGGCCTGTGCTCATGCTCAGTCATGACACCTCTGGTATGACCTGTGAAGCAACTATACAACAGTAGAAACTGACCTTAGCAAACTTCAGGAAAAGAGAGGTTATTACTGCTCACATGGAAACTGTGAGATAGCAGTGATGTTTTCTGGTCTATTGCATCTGACAAAAATCTGATTCAGATGGTAGGAGGTACCATTTCCTCTAGGTTTTTTGGCTGGCCTGTGTTAATTATTTTACAACAGTGCATTGAAAATGTGATGTTTGAGATGACAGATTTCATGTTCTCATGCACAGCTGCATGCCAGAAGAAATATGAAGTATTTCTTACTCCTAATATGCCCCATTCAGGTTTTTCTTCACCTTGGACTGGTGGCACGTAGAATCTTTACTACTTCGTCAGTGCTGTAACTTTTTCTTTCTAACCAAAGATGTCTCTCTCCCTTCTTAGACCGTGTCACTAAATGCATATATTTTGGGATTAAACAGGTACCTGTGGTGGCAATCATGACAACAGGTGGTGGAACCAGAGCTCTGACAGCCATGTATGCTCACCTTCTCAGTGTGCAGGAAATGAGAGTCTTGGACTGTGTCTCATACATCACTGGTTTATCTGGCACAACATGGTAAGATCAAGATACGCAAAGCTGTCACAGGAATTTTCTATATATCACATCAAGAAGTGATCTGAAAAGTTGTATGATCTTTACTATCAAGAAAGGGCTTTCTTTTTCTGCTGTGGCATTTTTTTGTTTCTTCTAGTGAACATTTTCCCACATTTGGAATTAATTACATATGTGTTTTTTCATGTAAATAAAGACATAGTACACAAGCCTCCATAACTTCACAAAGCTCTCCTTTGTAACTCACAATAACTCACACTTTCCTTTTCCTTGTGGTTTTTGTTTTGGGGGTGGGGGGGTGGTTTTTTGGTGTGGTTTTTTTTGTTTGTTTTGGGTTTTTTTGTTTGTTTTGTTTTTTGGTGTGTGGGTTTTTTTTTTCCTTTTTTTTTATTTTTATTTTTGCTTTTTCAGGACCATGTCAAACTTGTATGAAGATCCTAACTGGTCCCAGAAGGATCTTAAGGAAACAGTCAGTGGTGCCCGAAAGCATGTGCTCAAAAATAAGTTTGTTACTTGCTTTGCACCTGATCGTTTGAAATACTATTTGAAGGAGCTGTGCCAGAGGAAACAGGAAGGACATCAGCTATGTTTCACGGATCTATGGGGACTCATCATTGAAGCCATGTTCCACGAAAAGGTACAATAACAGCACCTTTCTCTTCAGATTTGAATATTTAGTGAATACAGTGGTGAGTGAAGACAGTAAATCAAAAATTAGTTGAGATTGAAGGGGTCCTCTGTAGTTCATCTTGTTTAAGCAGGACCAGGAAGGGCAGGCTACTCTGAACCATGGGCTTTGAATATCTCCACAGGTGAAGACTCAACAACTTCTCTGGGCAACATCTGTCAGTTTGACCACCCTTACAGAAAGGTTTTTTTTTTCTGGCCTGTTTGTTTTTCATATTGATGCTGGAGAGGGACTTTTCACAAGTGCACGTAGTAATAGGACAAGGGGGAAATGGCCTTAAGCGGAAGGAAGGTAGGTTTAGATTGAATATTAGGAAGAAATTCTTTACTATAAGGGTAGTGAGGCACTGGAACAGATTGCCTGGACAGGTTGTGGACTCTCCATCCCTGGAGGTGTTTAAGACCAGCCTGTGTGGGCCTCAGGGCAAACTGGTCTAGTGGAAGGTGTCCCTGGTTTGAACTAGATGACCTTTAAGGTCTCTTCCAACCCTAAACATTCTATGATTCTATGAATTCACATGTAAACATTTAAATGAAAATCCTGCTGTTTTTTAAAAAGCTGCACAATGTGACAACCAATGAAAATCACAAACCCAAACACAGTATCTCTGAGCTATTAATGGCATTATGCTACCCCACAAACACTCCCACCAAAAGGTAATATTCCAGCTCTATTTTAATCTTCATTAATACTTCCCCTCCTAAAAACATTCCCTGTGTAATATGATTAACATCCCACACATCCACATCACAGTGCTAAAGACTCCCTGGGGATCTTCTCAGCAGGGAACTGTGTGTCCCTGCAATGCCACAGCCCTGTCCCCTGACCAACACAGCCCAAGGGAAGTCCAGTAGCAATGGTGGTGCAGCCATCCTTCCAAGAGCTGCTCTGGTGAGGAGGAGGACCTTCAGTTCTGCTTTGAGAAGGATCTGAACTGAGCACACTTTCAAACTTTGATTCTACACCCAAACCATCCTGCCCTTTCTACCCTGTCTAAATATGCTCTGCAGCAGAAACAGTAAGGGTCAAGGCTCATGGAAGATTACCTCTGTTTGAGCCTTGTCTCTGTCACTGGTCTGAGGAAAAAATGTTCCTCTGGACAGTCGGGAAAAGTTTTACTCTTTTGAAATGAAATATTTCTGGTCAAAAGTGCTTTTCAAACCTTTCCAGACATTTTTTCTGAAATAAAAATGTGAATAACAACATTTTCTCCCTACCATTGAAATCTCATATTTTTTTCAGCATTATGAACTTAAAACGATTTGTGTGCTTAAGTGCTGGGGCAGGGGAGGGTCAGGGATAGGGATGACAGCACCACTTGGAACTAAACAGGTGGGGAGCGTCCCAGCTGGAGTCTTGTATGCACTGTGTTGTCAGCACTCAGGCTGAGATGAAGTGGGAAGCTTTTTGTGTCATCTAACTGTCCTCAGCTCCTGTCCTTCTTCAAAACAGGAGGACTCCCATAAGCTCACAGATCAGCAGCAGGCACTAAATCAGGGTCAAAATCCCCTGCCCATCTACCTCTCTCTCAATGTGAAGGATAAAATCAGCGACCAGGATTTTAGAGGTAATAATACTCCAGAATTGCATTTAACATTTATTCCTAATTGGGGTCAATTTAGGATTAGGTAAAGAAAGCAATTCAGTGCACAAATACACTAAAAGGCCAATCCGTTTCAGAGGAGAAATTTACTAGTTAATTTTTTGAAGGCCTTAGGATGTTCAGCTTGTATTCAGGATCAAAAGTTGGATGATGGAGAACATTATCTGTATGCATTTCTGTAGAAAACTTGAGAAAGTTTGTAGAGACATTTAGATGTAAGAGGACAATTGGCTCTTCATGTTCACCACTGTGAAATGTACAGTGAGTAAATGTCTTCTTGTAAAGTGTTATTTAGAAAGCAGTCTGTCTTAACCTTGCCAATATCATATGTTTTATTCAAATAATTATATCTCTGCTACTGTAATCAGGCTGTCTTGTTCTTTTTTTTTTTTTTAGAATGGGTTGAATTCACCCCTTATGAGGTAGGATTCCCAAAATATGGAGCATTCATTCGTGCAGAAGATTTTGGCAGTGAGTTCTTCATGGGTCGCCTCATGAAGAAAATCCCAGAATCCAGAATCTGCTTTCTGGAAGGTGATTTTTTGTTCTGGAGAAATGTAAAATTATATAATCTGCTCCCACACAAACCCCTCTTCTGAAATTAAGCAGTTAGTATTTTTTTTTATCTGCCAGGAGCAGTATATGGTAAAATACTAGAACTGATAACAGGTTAATATCTGAAGGATTTTTTGTTTTCTCTCTGATTTTATTCAGCTAAACAGATTTACTTGATTTCATATGTGGTTATGCTTGCTGACGTGGGGCTGTCACAGTACTTATATGTCTTTGTCAGCAACAAAACTTGTGTGTCATTGCCACTAAGTTAAATCGTCAGTTTATTCTGTAACCTGAGTCTCTAAAATACTCACTTTCATTTACAAAGTTACTGTTACACCTAGCCCTGATTAATTCTTAGGATAACACTTCCATTTCAGAGTGCAAATAGATCATAACATTTGTCTTTTTTCCCTCTTGCACAAGAAAGTGAAAGCAGTAAGGAAATCTTTCTTCCCTTTGCGAAAGCAATCTCTTGCCTCATTGTTCTTCCTACTTCCATCAACTGTATGAAGGAAAAAGGAAGTTACAGGGGGTTTTTTTTGAGAAGTTAAGACTTTCTGCTTGTGTGGAGATTTCACTATAGCTAGTGGTGAGGTGTAAGGAAGCAACTCAGTATCTCTGTCCCTGGCTGCAACTTCAGATATGGTACCCAGCTCTCCCCTTCTGTGGTCAGAAATGCTGGCAGGTCATCAGCTCCGTCCTGCACTTCCCACCTTGGTGCTTTCTTCCTCCCTTCCCTAGAGCAATGCTGGGACATTTCTGCCCCTGTTCCCTGACAGTGAGCTACAGTTCCTCCCCTCATTTAGGCAATGTCCAGAGACACAACTATTCAAAAGGTTTTCAGCAAATTCCTTTACACCCCAGCTCCTGAACAAAGCAAGGACTGATCATGTAGATCCCACAGTCCTTTCCTGCATGGCCAAACCCATCCTTCTGGCTGCAGGCTGGCATTGCTGTCTCAGGAGATCACCGGGCTGCTCAGGTGCAGCCTCTTCCTCCCAAGAGTACCAGGTATAGTTCTGAAGTTTGAAAGGTTCAGGAATGACACATCCAACCATATCACATAGTGATGTTTTATCAGGCTGAAAGACTGCAGATAGGTGTCAGCCTGGACTGGTTAGTAGAATGAACTTGAAAATGGAACTCAGATATGCTCCAAATGCTAAAAAATCAGAAAAATAAAAAGACTCGTACCTTTGCACTTCCTAGTTCTCAAAACTTATAAATTGGCTTACTCATTCTGAGGGATATTAGCATATGAATCTTGAATGTTTTGTGGTTGATAGTCCTGCATGATAACTGCATACCTGTAACAGGATTATGCTAGAAACAAATGAAAACTTTGGAATTACAAATGCTGGGAACTTGGGGAGAAACAAGTGATGAGAACAGATGGAAAATACTAAGATGAACTTGACAAAATGTTATTTGCCAAGTAGCAAAAATGAATGTGTTAGCAGATACACTAAAAAACTACCAGTCCTCTCAATATATGTCAATAAATTAAATTCTTCAAATACATTTTTGATTCCTTATATATAGCAGGGGACTATAACAGTCCCTTTTATCTGTACATTAATATAGTATAATGAATTACATTTACTAGAGAATGCAGAAGATACTGAAGGCAAATGAAAATACTTTCAGATCTTAACCCGTTTATTTTCTGTCAAATACATCCTATGCCACAGGGATCTGGAGCAGTGTATTTTCCTTGAACCTTATGGATGCTTGGTATATATCTGTTCATTCAGAAGACTTCTGGCACAAATGGACCCAAGACAAAATCACTGACATAGGTGGGTTATTCTTACATGATTATATTATTTTCCTCTCTTCCTTTTTATCACTTTTTATATTTTTTTCTTCTTGTCTGTGCTTCTATTCTCTCACTGAATTTTTCAAGGCCATTTCAGAACTTCCTTTTCAGGGATTTCTATTATTCACATGGAAACCAGGAAGAAATTAATGCCATGTATTATAGTATGGCAATCATTTCAGTTGTGTGATATGTCACCAAAAAAAAAAAATCTCTGTAGAGTAGAAGAGAATAAAAGCCTCCCATAGCATTCCACAATCTCCTAGCTTTTTTCTCAGAAGTTGAAGAATCGCAGAAGCAAGAGCAAACATTGTCTTTGCATCTCTGAAGTCTACAAGGCATCAATAGAAACTTCAGTACTACTGGCAGTCACTCCAAACTAGTTATAAGGATTAGATTTGCAAAACATGCTAAAAAATTAAGAAAGACCTGCAGAGTGGGATTTCAAGGAGAAATACACAAGACAAGCATGTTACAGAGAAAAAAATGAGAAGGAAGAGAACTGTAACAAAAAAGATGATTTATTTAATCTTCTTGCACTTGTAGGGTGTAGATTCTTGTTAAAACAAGGAGCTTGCATTTTTTCTTGAGGAACTATAATTATGTTTGTGTGTCTGGGAGATTGTGTTTATGTGCCTTTTTATATGTGTGTCTGAGAAAGAAACTGTAACATAGAGTAGCAAAGGAAGACAAAGTAAACACATGATATTTAGTGTATAAAATAGAAAAGCAAAGAGATTTGTAGTAGGTGAGGTGGACTCTTTTGCAATACAAATAATGCCTTTATCACTGTGAAATGAGAAGAAGAAAGGGACTTTTCAAAGCTTACTGAAAAACTGATACATGTGGAAATCCTGGAAATAAAAAGAGAAGGAAGTTCAAGTTTTGCCAAACATATTAAGCCAAATCATGACTGCATAGATTGACATTAACAATGAAACTGAATAAAAGAACTGTTATTCTTTCTTCTGCAGATGATGAAACCCTATTTCCTACAAGACCAAATGAGCTGGATACTCGAGTGGTTTGTCCCACTGACAGCTTTTCAGACATTTTCCGAGATGTTGCGATGTTACGTCCAGCAGCTTCAGAAATCCATAACTTCCTGAAGGGCTTCCAGATGAACAACAACTACCTAGAGAGCAAGTTTTCCAAGTGGAAAGGTATGGTGATAGCACCCTGCTTTGAGTTATTGTTTAAACCATCCTTATGAAAGAGAAACCATGCTTAAAAGATTGTCTATCAGATGGTTTTTCTTGTTTGTGCCCATTTTCTGATAATATTTGAAACCGTTTGCCACAGAAAGCTGAAATTAGGTAGCAGGAGAGTCTTCAAAAATAATTTCTTAAAAAAAATTCATGAAGTTTCATGACTGCTAGATGAGAAACATCCCTACCAGTCACTCAGCATATGTGTGCTGATGTGTTAGCCATTCAGCCTGCATGCTTGTGACATGGCACTGATGCCATCATATGCTCTCTCTTGCCTGGTCAATACTCAAGGGATGTGGGATGGAGCCCTATTTCCTGTTACATTGTTAATTGTAAGTAAAATACAACCTTTGTAACAATATTCCCTCTTATCCAGGTTGGGAATTTTCATAATTAAGATCTTCTAGATCTTCCATGCAACACTGTAGCTCTGTGCCTGTTCTCATAGCAAGCAAGGCACCAAATGTCTTTAGTCTTTAGTGTGTTGAGACTGTGAGGTGCCATTTTAATTTGTTCTGCATTAAAAAAAAATAAACAAAACAAAATAAAAAAAATCCCCAACCCAAAACACCACCTCCCCCCCCCTACACCTGATCAGAGTTACACATAAAACCAGGGGATGGAAATAACGCTATTTCCCTGAGCCCCAAATCAACCCCTTTTAATTAGAGGAAAGCCAAAGAAATTGCAGAGCAAATAGTGAAAAGAGGAAGCCAGATGAGGAACTGAGAAATGACTGAACTGCAGCCATCAGCTGTATAGGTAGATCTAAAACCCGAGAAAAGTTAAATTCTCTCTTTGTTAACAATAAGCTTTCTTCAGCACCTCCTTTGAAAACATGTGCTTCTTTTCTAGACTGTGAACTTGACTCTCAGCCCAACCACCTGACAACAGCAACAGATTACCTTATCCTGATTGATACTGCCTTTGCCTTTGCTACCAGTTACCCACCCCTTATGAGACCAGAAAGGAAAGTGGATGTCATTTTGCATTTCAACTACAGTTCAGGCTCTCAGACAGGGGTGAGCCTTGTACATTCTTCTATATTATTTTGCTGTTTCATCACTGAGCTCCCAGAATGGCTGATCATCTACTCATAGAGTATCTGGGAAGGGTAAATAAATTAACAATTTACCAAGGCCACATATATTTATTGAACAGTACAAGTGTTATCAGAAAGTAATAATTTAGTAAACTGAATCTTCTCATTTTTACATGTAAACGGTTTCAGCTGATTTGAAGGCAGTCAGATGTAGAATGCATGAAGCTAAATGCCTTTAAACATTGCCAAGATTTCTCGATGCAATCATACATATTCTTATACCTAAGGAAATATACTTTCAGGACAATACAACTATAACAATAGAAGGATTTGATGCAGAAGGCCAGATATGCAAATAAATGCAAGAACAGTTTGTATTTAGGAATGCTAAATTCCTAAATCCTAAACATCACCTAAAGACAGCTTTTTTCATATCCAAATGTGACATGTAGATTTTCAAAGACAGGCATTTGGAATCAGATCCATCTCACTTGACTCTGGCCTTCTGGGTCTTGGCTCCGTAAACAATCTACACCTAAAGTGGGTATGTGCCATAATATGTCAGTACCTGTCCCTTACCTCACAAATATTCCTAGTGAAATTAGGTTTGTGTCAACTCAAAGTTCTTCCTGTATGTTCTGATGTTTTCTTTTGTTTTGTTTTCCTATTGTGGCAACTAGCCCCTGAAAGAAGCCTCTAAATACTTTGCAAAACAGGGAATTCCATTCCCTACAAAGGTGCCAGATGATCAGGAAACTCCACATCTGAAGGAATGCTACATTGTTGGTGATCAAGAGAGCCCAGAAACACCAATTGTGGTATTTTTTCCTCTAGTAAATGACACCTTCAGGGAATACAAAGCACCTGGTAAGTTCATCGTTACCCATCACATTAACAGAGGCAGCAGACACCTTCTTTTTCTTTTTTACTGGCCTATATCTGTTCTTCAGATCATGCTGTAAAAACAGAATTGGATTCTCTTTGCTTAGATCTGAACCATATCAAGAAACTTAAAATATGTGATTTGTCCTGGACAGTAGAGAAGAAACTGTGCCCCTCTTCATATTTTTTTTGGCTTTTCATAGGTAGGTTTAGAGTTTACTGAGCAAAAGTGTATTCTGTTTATCTGCAGTGGTAGAAATAAGCAGGGTTATTTCCTCTCATACTTGTCATCCTTTCCTGTTAAAGAATGCTTTGGGGAATCTAAGGATTTCATTGTTTAAAATAATTTCCAGGCTTACAGTTAGGCAGATAACCTTGAGACAAAAGTGCGAACTAGCAAAGTGATGAAAACACAACTGTGAGGCATAGTGAAGTGATGAAAGTACAACACAGCCATGCTGACAGTTTCTGTTCATTTCAGTGACTTCTACTTTGAAATTTAAGGAGTTTCAATAGCAACAGTGCCAGTCACTTCAAAACAGATGAGTTGTAAGTCCTGGTACCATATCTCAGATGCCATACTACTCTCTCGGTACCAAAAGTCTCAGATACTCCTCCAGATGCTACAATCCCTAACTCTAGTTATGAGTTCACTTCAAAGCCCTACAGTATCCCAAAAGCAAAAAGTTCTCGGTTGTTTTATGGTATAATAAATTTAAAACTAAAACAAATGCAGAAAATATCCCAGTTGTTTCAATCCTTATCTTTTTAATTTAAATAAGTTATAAAAAATCATATGGTACTATTGCTTTGTCAATATTCTGGACTGAGTTCATTGCACATTCTATGTATACAACTGGGGTTGTGAACAGGATTCAAATAGACTAAGGGTATTTATACAGGTACACACACCATTCTACTCCAGCTCTTTCCACAGATCAGATAACTGAAAGGTTATGAAAGTTTCTGCAGTTGCCCTTTATAAAGGGAATTAGGGAAAAGAGAAAAGGAGAAAGAACTAGAAGAGTAACTGAGAATTAACTTCTGAGCTGCTCTTCTATAACGCGCTCTGTAGAGCCCCTCTAGCTCTGTAGAACTGCTCTGTGAGGCAGTTTGCCTCCCCTCTCCCCCTCAATAATTTCCAGAACTCATAATTTCAGGCTCATCATCTGGAAAAAACCATGCTGTCATGAGGTTCTTGCTGCTGCTGTCTGCTTTTGGAGAAGGGGAGGAAAGAGAGAGAAAGAGTAATTGCCATTTACTTGCACCTTGGCTCAAAGCGTAGGGTGCTGTGGTGGCTGGGAGACAGGAGCATGGCAGAGGCTGGCCTGGGAAAGTGTCAGCAAAGAGGGGAAACGTGGAGACTATGCTGGCAGCTCACTCTGGAGCTACAGGAGGAGGCAGGGAATCTCAGCCTTCTGTGCTCCAAAGAAGAACTCTTCTACCTGTTTTGGCATTTGCAAGAGCACCCAGGACAACTCCTACTTGACTCATCACTACGAGCTTCTCCACTCCCTGCTGCCAACCAAATATCCTAGCAATAAAACACCTATGAAGGGAAAATTTTGGGTTGTGATCCACTACTTGTGCATGCTTGAGAAACACCTAGACACTAGCTGTTTTTTGCAAATTAACCAAGACATTGTTTATCCATTAGGTGTGAAACGTAGTCCCTCAGAGATGGCAGACGGTGATGTTGATGTTGCAAATGCCTGTGGTCCATACTACATAAACAATCTGAGCTATTCAGAGGAAGATTTTGACAAACTTGTTAATCTAAGTTACTACAATGTCCAGAACAACAAAGACTTGATTCTCCAGGCTTTGCATACTGCTGTGGAACGGAAAAAGCAGCATAAGAAAGAGCAACCTCTGCAAAAACCACTCGATGGGTATGGTATGTGTGTGCCTGACAGAGGGTAACCCAGCATTTGGCTGACTGCCCAGCACTAGGGAATATGAAATAAAATATCTATGAGTCCCGTTAATGAAGAAGAAAATTAATTTTATTAGGAAGTGAAGAAAAGCCAAAGAATGCTAAACATAGCACATCATTTGTCATCAAAAACTGCTAAAGCTTGCCTGTCAGTGGAGGGAATAAACAGAAAAAAACAGAGCTCTTCCTTAATAAACTAATGCGCTTCCCTTGTTGAAAATCTCAGGATTGTGGCTGGGTGAGGCTGTGCTCCACTTGTACTTGCAGAATTGACCTTCCAGACCAGGGCCGAAATGTGTGGACAAAGAAGCACGAGGAAGTTCACACTGACCATGTTTGTTCTCTACCTGTGCTATAAAAACAGAGGATTGACAGTTCAAAAATGCAGCAAAGAACAAGATCCATTGTCTCTGAAACAAAATCAAGAAAGCCATTTGTGAACTGAGGAAACTTTATGTGACTGTAAATAAATATCAAATTTATATAATAAACCACATTTTTTTGAGTAAGAATTACAGCAAATACATGTTAAAGCCATTTCGTTTAGGTGCTTCTTCCTCTTGTAGCAAGACAATTAAAGACAACATGCAGACATTTCACAGCTCCTGAAGAATTATTGAAGAAGAAACTATACCTGCTCCAGACCTTGATGTAAACTCACCCAGGATCCTGGGACACCTTGAGTTTACAATTACATTTATTACATTTAAGATCCATCTCTGCATGAACCAACTCATGCTAGTTTATTTTTTCCAGTTGGATTTAAATATTATTGACCCATAACAAAGGTTTAAAGCTTTAAAATTTTTTGAGACTATTACATTGAAAAGGCACAATAAACACAGACAAAGCAGAGCTAAAATTGTATACTTCTTATCACTCCTGCAAATGTGATTTTTAAATCTTGCTGTAGAATATTGCAACTGAAGTTAATAGAACATCGACTTTCAGCTTTTTGACACTTGGGTCGTGACTTTAACATGGCTACAAGTAAGTAGTCTGGTTTTTTTTTTGATAGATCGAATCCCAACTCCCCATTTATTCTTTTACTAAGTTTTTTATTCAGTGCTATTGGTTTATTTATTAGACATCTTGTATTTACAAGCCCATATTTCTGACAGGCTGCCCCACTCCTCAGTTCTGTTGTAGTATTCTTTGTCAAGAAATCCTGTTATTGTGGGCCAAGAGTGGAATTCTTACAAATTCCTTTGCCCTCAAGGTTGAGGGTCTCCTCCTGGGTGGTGCACAGAAATGTAATCCTTCTCTTTATCACCTGAACACAGTTTACACACTGTTTGTCACAGTGAATGTTTCCCTGCACACTGCAGGAGCCATACAGCTCCTATATGGACTATACACTAAGTATTTATCTCCCATGGAAACAAGAGACAGCAGTCATGCTGATGAATGCTGGATCTCATCATAATATAGGACAGGACGTAGCCAGAGGGCACAGCCAGACCTGGGAATTTGGAAGCCTCCCAGGTTCCCATATACAGTTAAGTATTTATTGTCTGAAGGGCAAAAATTATTTCACTGACAGCAGGAAGCATCTAGGCCGGAAATCTGAAGACAAGCAGAATGAGGTGTGTGAATGCAAATACTCTGCCCTTTCTGCTGCTTTCTAGCAGACACAAAAGGGTCATGGAGAACAATGAACACTTTATCCCATTTCAAAAAGCTTGCATGAAATAATTACTCAGTACCTCAGTTTTCTATATTCAACAAAAATACAGAGCAAAATGACAGGGTTGATCAAGGAGGTGGAACTGCTTCCACACAAGGCACGAATGGATAAGGAATCTGCAACCTAGAAAAAGGACAATAAGCAGAGAAGAGACATATGAAATCGGGAGTGCCCTGTGGGAGATGAACAAGGAATGACTGTGCACTTCTCTTCTAAGACCAGACCTGAAGGGAATCAGACTAAACTACCAAGCAACAGGTAAAGTTAATAAAGTGAGGTTGTTCTGCACACAACATGCAATTAAGTTACAGACTTCTATAACCCTGGAATTTCTTGTTGAAAAATGTTTATGCATTAAAAAACTGACTGACACATTCACTGGAAAAACTTTAGGGACTGAAAAAAATACAAAGGTTCTGCATCTGCCTCAGTCCTGCACTGAATCATAAATCCCAGAGACTGGGAGAACAGTCTGAGACAATGCCTGCCCTGTGGGGTATGTGAGGTATGTGAGGTTCTCCAGTCACTAAATACTGGATGCAGCAAAGACAAACAGGAAAGCAATCTCACTTCACACTGCTGTACTTAAGTTTTCCACAGCTCAGTCAGGAGCAGTCAGACCTCCTAAAGATGTGGTGATACAACATTATTTTAAAAGAAATTACTGAGGTAACATGGAGAAGATCTAACAAACCAGAAGGATAAATTACCTATGAATTAACCCATAGAGAAATACAATGAAAATCAAAGGAATACAAAACCAAACTATAAAAAGGGGATTTCAAAAAATGAGGAAGCTAGTCAGCAAGACCCTACGTGAAATGGTATAAAATCTTTAGACTCAGCATGGAAATTGCAAGAAAGAGTTGCAAAACATATGCACAGCCCTAAATAAAATGCCAAGCAAGGAACCAAGAAAAGGCAAAGTGGTTAAATGCCCAGGACTGAGAATTGCTAAAGCCTAACATCTGTTCTTTGAGGAACAGCATGGAGAGGAAGGAGATGGAAAGGGCACATCCAAACCTGCTGATGTATTTAGAAAAGAGCTGGAGCATATTGAAAAAATGTAGTATTCAATATGGGAATGAGGAGAAATACCTAGCTAAAAATGTGAATCAGTCGATGTGCTGGACCAGCAAAATGGGATTTAAATTAGGATGCTGCAAAGGAGGTAAGGTAAAAAAGATAACACTTGTGACATAGCGTTTAAACACAGATTCAGCAAAAAATCCTCCTCCGTTGTTTTGTTTTGTGTTTTGTTTTGTGGTGGGTTTTTTTTTTTTTTTACTGGGATCCCAAGTTTTTTTTTTTATTTACATAGTGAGTGAGCACAGAAAAACCTTCATGTCAAACATATTTGTTTTATTGATTTCTCAAGAGTTTTAGTAAATGTTGTGTTATATTCCATTACAATCTCTTGTAAAATCAATGGAAAAGGTGATCCTCCCACATGGCTTAACACGACACTGGAGCTAAGGCTAAAACTAATGGCCGTATCGTTACAGACGTCCCACAGAAACATTTCAATGTTATACTAACATTTTTCACTCTGTTTAAAACAGTTGCCTGATGTCGTAGCTAAACACCACCGCGCTTAGTCACACACTTCTTTGGCATCCAGAGACAGCAACCATCATCGGAAAAACACGAAAAGTATTTGGGTGATTCCACGCTTAGATCGGAGCTGTCAAAATCTTTCCGAATTGCCTTGCAAGGGGCTAAGATTTTAGCGCAGAGGAGAAGCACGTACGTTTGTGGTAAAAAAAAAAAAAAAAAAAAAAAATCCTCTGATTACGAAAAGAGTAATAATTTACCACTCAGAAAACCCCAAACCCCACCCGGCACGCAGGGCGTGTGTCGCAGGCAGAGCGGCCCCGCCCGGCCCCGGCGCTGAGCCGAGCGCGGGCAGCGCCGCTGACACCGCCGCTGACACCGCCCCTGCGCGGGGCCGGCCCGGCTGTGCCCGCCCGGCGTGCCCGCCCCGCCGGCGGCTGCGTGCGCGGGGCACGGCACTGCCAGACGGGAGCGGCGGCGACGGTGGCGGGATGTTCAGCTGGCTGAGCAAGCAGGGCGGCGGGCGGGACCGCGCCGGCGGCACCGACTTGGTGCATACGGTGACCGACGGGCTGCGGGACCTCTATCTCCGCAAGCTGCTGCCGCTGGAGGAGCACTACCGCTTCCATGAGTTCCACTCGCCCGCCCTGGAGGACGCCGACTTCGAGAACAAGCCCATGGTGCTGCTGGTGGGGCAGTACAGCACCGGCAAGACCACCTTCATCCGGTAGGCAACCCGCGGCCGGCCCCGCTCGGGGAGCTGCGGCCGCCGCCCTGCGCGCCTCGCCCCCGCCGGCCGCTCGGTCCTCGTCGCTCACCTCCTGCCCGGGGCGTTGCTGCCCTGCGGTTAATCCCGCCCACGCTCTGGCGGTGCTCCCCGCGGAGAGCCCGCCCGTGCGGGGCAGCGGCCGCACGCCTGGTCACCCACCCGCCGCGCGGAGCCGTGCCGAGCCGAGCCGTGCCGAGCCGTGGGCTGGGCAGCCGGAGCCTCTGCCGAGGAGCGGGGCTTAGCCGGCAGCCTCCGTGCTGTGTCGAGGATGGTGCCGCTCCCGAGCCGGTTAACACGCTCTATAGCTCGCCGCTAAGCTTCCTGTTCAAGAATATTATCTCTGTTTCATGTTCTGTCAAGAGAGTGACTACTTCCTCTTAGTTCTTTTAATCTCTAAATTATTTCAAAGGAAACCAGGCACTTCGTGTTAAAACGGTATGACTGCACTGGCCATCACGGACCGTTTAACCTTCTCTCCTTCCCCTTCTTTCCCAAAAGTAGTTTAACGCACAGATTGCATGTGATGATAAAAGAGTAACGCGACAAGAGTTTTGGGAAAAGAAAATACAAACGTCTGACCGCCCCCTCCTACCCCTCCCCCACCCCTTTATTTTGATCAATGACATTGAAAAAGCAGCATCACTACTAAGGCTGAGCTTAACAGTGTTGTTCTGTTATAGTATTTTCTGTCTTTCCTGAATTCCTTATTTTTAAGTTTCTTAGAAGCTAATTTTTATGAAGCTGAAGCATGTCTTGGGTAAGCACAACCTGTGAATACTTCGCATATATTTGGGTGTGTTTACCTCTCATATGCCCCTTACAAATCAGTCTAAGGTTATGCCAAACTCTGCAAAAGACACTGAGCAGGTTCATTCTAGTCCTTCTGTAAATTTTACAAATATTTATCTTTCTATTCGAAAGATTACAGGCAGTCTTGCCATAACACTGTTTCCTTTTTGCAGTGCAAAAGACCTACCTCCCCTCCCCATTGAAGAGCAATGTTTACCTTTAATCACCTGAGAGCTTTCCAGATGTTTACAGATCTAATCATGTGTCTTTTCTGGTTTTACAACCAACTAATTGGAGGCTTGAAGTTGGACTTGGTTCTTTACTGATCGTAACTGAATTCGTGCACACACTTAAGGTGGTTTTACTCAGAGGAATATTCTTAAAATAGAAATATATCTCTAATTAAAAAAAAGGAAACTTCGTTTCAGGATCCTCCCATAAAGTCACGAAAAGGTGTGTGTTTGTGGGAAGGATAATTTGGATTTTTTTAAAAATTTCTGTAGCCATGCTGATTCATGTTCTTTGTTGAAATTACAGTTCCTTTGTGAGTCTGTATAAATTTCCAGATGAGCATTGTTAACTGGCTTATGGACAGGGGATAGGGAGACAGAACACTCCCAAATATGTACATACCAGAACCTGTCCCACCTGTCAGCAGAGTTGCTCTGTCATTTGGAAAAAATTTTCCCTTCCTGTAAGAGTTTGCCTTGGATGAGAACACAGGTTTATGGACATTCAACTTTTCTGTCCTTTATAGTTGTCCATATTTGACTGGAGTGCAAGTCAATATTGTGCTTAGAAACATTGATATTTCTTTGCAGTGCTTTAGATGTATTTTTGGTACTGTTGCTTTGTAACTTGTTATCATTGTAATCATGAAATACTGAGCAACAGCATTGACTGATACTGAGGTACAGTCTGAATGAGAAAAGATGGTTTATTACAGCTATTGCTAGCTTTTTTTTTTTTTAGCATTGGTCACTGCTGGGCGAAGATGCCCAGAAAAACTTGAGAGATATACAAGTTTTCAAATATATTTTCTCATGTGTTTTAATAAAATATCTGACTCAGTGGAGGAGGTGACTCCTCTTTTCCACTGTGATGTGATGTGCCCTTCTCTTCATCCACCCTCTTACCTTTTCTCCTGTCCCTGTTTTTGGTAGGTCGCAGAGTGGTTTAATCTCTTCACGGGTATTGAAGAATACAGGCAGTGACTGTGGAGCCCCAATCAGTAATAGAACAGCTGTTACTGCTTCTAAAGGGCCACAGTCAGACCGCACTATTGTCAATATTCATTACCTCAGTGTTCTGTATGGAATAGGTAATCATTGGCTTAATGAGCATAAGAAAATGCTCCATTCAAGATGGGCAGCAACTTAGACAATATTGTCATAGTGACTGTTACTCAAAATCCAATTTAGAGAAGAAAAAGAAGGGCAAAAAAAGAGAAGTTCTTGTGTGTTGAGTGCAAGACTAAGAAGACATGGGAAAATATTATAGTGTCCAGGTCAGCCAGAAATAAATTTCTCCTGTGGTAGGCTGAATTTCCCATGGAAAAAAGTCATACACTCTCAAGATTGTTATATAATTCTAGGTTTACTATAGATAGTTTTTCTTAGAATGAAGTAGAAGACGGTAGTTTTTATTTTTTTCCTGCAAACTTTTTAATAAACATTATTTTAAATCTTAATTAAAACTGCTTTTTGTTCTTATTTCTCCATTTCATAGTCAGGAGGGCATACTAGATCTACTTAAATGTTTACTGTTGGATTTATTTGTGAATATAACAATTCTCTTTAGCTGTCAGAGATATTCATTTGGGATTTACAGTGATTTAGACATTATCGTGAGAACTTCACATTTTCATACCTCTGACACATCCATATCCACCCAGTTCCTTCCACTAACTCTTTATGGAAAACACTGATCTAGCAATGACTGAATGTCCCTAGGGATTAAGATACGCAGACAAAAACTTCCAGGTTTCTAACAGCTCTTATGTTTTTTCACTTGAAGCTGTTTATCCGCTTTGGCACTTGGAACAATGCAGTGAAACCAGCCAGTTTTGCTGTCTAAGGTGTAGTGCAGTGATAGTGTTTTAGTCAAGTATTTTGACAATGCTGACAATTCAAACAAATATATCTACGCCCAAACGTTAATACTTGTCCAATTGTGTTTAATGAAGTGGGAGGATGGTGAGATCCAGTTGCTTATCTTGCATGTGAACTGCTTGGCCATGCAGCTTCTGTAGTGGTCTCAAATTCTTCTGGCTGCTTCAGGAAAAAAAATGGGCAAAGGAGGGACAGGAGGGGAGAATTGTAGTGTATGAGAAAGAGAGAAGTGGTAGTCAGTGCAAGTTTGTAGATTTTGACCTTTTTCTTGTAATAGTTAATTAAACTTTTAGTCTAGTAATGTTTACTTGTCATTAATTTTTCAATTTTAAAAATGTAAGAGACTGCTGTTTTTTAAGAACTTATCAACATGAGACAAACCAGAAGTAAATTCCTCAGATTGCCAGGCTGTGCTTTTAGTTTGCTTACAGGTATTACTCAGAGGTTAAAAATGGTAAACTTCCTGCTATTTAAACTCAGTCAGAGCTGGCTTTTGTAAAAGCACCCTTTTGTATGCATAATATCTGGAGTCTGCAAGTGGTGTGCAATCACTTGTACAGTTGCATCTATTTCTTTAAGAGTTGTGGGGGGGGGAGAGAGAGAGTAGGTCCCTAATTTCTTTGAAAGCTGTAACTTTTTGTTATTAGCTCTACATGAAAACCTTGAGTTACTTGGAGCAGAATTCTTAAACTAAAGCAAACATCTGCTAGCTTTGCTGTGTTTAAAAACAAGTGGAATATCTGGTGCAGTATGTAGTATGGAAGTGAGCAGACTTATAAAGAAGCCTTGAGTTTGTCTCCCGGTGCATCACAGTGTACCCCTGCTTACTGCTGCTCTATCCAGCTCACCTGCAATTGTGCATTAGTATGGCTTAGCTAAAGCATTTAGACTTCAGATGAAGTATCCAGAACTGTGAGTAATCTTTTCTATCTCTGGAACTTTGTAAACTAGTTTCCCCTAAACTGGCAAGCTACATCTTACAAAGAAACATAGATGAATGTTTATTGGCAAAGCAGAAAGGTTATAGCCCAGGTAAAGACAAAGGGAGAAGAGTCAACAGGATGTCTGTTGTTTGAACTAGACTGTCTTTGGGACCTTGGCTATTTTTAAACATTCTTCCTGTAAACCTTTTTGAACTCCCTCTCTGCTGAAAATTCCTGAGAAGAGCATGCAGTTGTAGATCTGAAATTCCAGGTATTTTCCTGTGTTAGTGTAGCATAAGGTGCAAAACCATTGGCAGCTTTTCAGTTTACAGAAGGCTGCTCATACCTTTTGTGTGGGTATTTTTCATGCTGAGAAGTATGATATAGCTTGGTGTGGCTTAGCCCCAGCTCGCAATGAAGCACCACACCACCACTCACACTCACTCCCCCCGTGGGATGGGGAGAGAACTGGAAGGATAAAAGTGAGAAAACTTGTGGACTGAGATAAAGACAGTTCAGTAGGTACAGTAAAAGCAGCACACACAAGCAAGGCAAACCAAGGAATTCATTCATGACTTAACACAGACAGGCAGCTATTCCAAGGAAAGCAGGGCTCCATCGTGTGTAACAGTGACTTGGGAAGGGAAAATGCTATCTCTCCAAGCATCTCCCTCTTCCTTCTTCCCCTAGCTTTATATGCTAAACATGATGCCATATGGTGTGGAGTATCCCTTGGGACAGTTGGGGTCAGCTGTCCCAGCTGCATCCCCTCCCAACTCTTTGTGCATCCCCAGTCACTTGCTGGTGAGGTGGGGTGAGAAGCAGAAAAAGCCTCGATGCTGTGTAAGTGCTGCTCAACAGTAATGAAGACATCTGTGTATTATCAACACTTTTCAGCACAAATTCAAAGCACAGCCACATACTAGGTACTGTACCAGACAAAACCATCACAGTTGTACAGCCAGTGCTCAAGAATGGGTTCATTTTTGGCTGTACTGATTCTTGATGTGCAATTGTGAGCCAGTCTTAATGGAAAATACCTGCCTTGCAGAGTGATTCCTATCTACTGAGTAACTGTACCAGGCTTAGCATTGTGACTGCTGGGTGGGGCTTGGTATTTGGGAGATCTTACCTTCCTGGGTTGTTGTCTCTATAAAAGCCAGGCTTTTAAAACTGTGTTTGTGACTTTAATTTGGAAGCACTACTGAAGTTCAGTAGCACTTTATTCTTGTTCAGTTGTTTCAATAAGCAGCTAATCTGAATGTGCACTATGGAGTTCCAAGCTGCAAATAAAGATGTTGGAAATCCTGAAAAGTGCTCCGTACTTTTAAATTTTTAAATTTTGCAAGTGTTACATGTGCAGCAACTTCATGAGCAGGCCATGAAATTACTCTTTTAGGCATCATGAAGACTGCTAACACTGACTGTGGATAACCATCCCTAACAGGTTCATAAGCTTATGATGCATAGCAATTATCCTGTTGTCTTGGATGTGTCTTCTCCTGCACTCAGAACTCACCATATAGTTTTCTTTGATCTGGAATCTGGGACTTCACTCCTGTACATCTGACTCAGTATAATGTTCTTTACTGTTGCTCTGGGAGTCTTCTTGTTGTATGTGTTGTCTGTCACCTTGTGAGTTGCTGCCTTTGTTAGCAGAAGTCTGGGAATGACAATTTGTATCAAGAGAAGAATTTATTTAGCAGTCTCATAGAGATCCTTTCTCTTTTAGAAGAAGGACAATGAGGAAAAGCAGAATTAAGAGACTTTGAAATTGAACTATTTTAGAAGATGAAAGTATAATTGATCTTTCAAAATCAAAGCTGTGGATAACTCCAGTCTGGAAAATTATAGCGGCTCCTGTGAGTTAGCCTTGATGTCCTGTTTTGGAGAACTCTATTCTGCAATGATGTTCTGTGAAGAGGCAGGAACACACTTTTGTGTTTCAGGTGTTCCCCTGTTTGCTCCAACACTTGTCCTCAGTTTCCATGCATCAAGGGTTCAACTGCTGAGCTATTAAAGGAGTTTTGTCTTCATTTTGTTACAGGTTCTACTTCATAAGGTTGAGGGATCTACTACATTGTACAATCCTGCATATGCAGAAAAGTTTGGGAGTTGGGGTTTTCTGCTTTTGGAGAGGAGTCAGTTTTATTTCCCTGTTGATGTGCCTTGGGTACAGTTTATTCTAGAGGCAGAATAAATTGACTTGGGCATGTTCTGGCATGATTCTTATTATGGTCCTCCTTTCCCACAAGTTCTAGCATTGGCTTTTTTTGTTTGTTTTTTGGAAGCAGAAAGCTGCAGGAAATCTCATGTAAATAACTGCTCTAAGCTCCCAGATCATAGGTTGAGCTAATTGGAGCCAGTTTGCTAAGGCTAATGGAAACCAATCTTTGAAATATTGAAATATATTTAGTTCCTTAAATTCAGCTTCTGTGCACTGATCTATAAAGTTAGTGAATGCTTGGGTACTTTTTTTAAAGGCAGAGATTGTTCAGCAAGTACAGGTACTTTGTAAAATGTTTTTTGCAGAAAATCAGCCAGCAAGTCCTTTCAAATCAGCACTGACTTAGGAAATTGTAGCAGAACAGGCACAGTGCTCTTGAATTAAAAGCCAGAACAAACCTTTATTGTAAGAGCAATGTTAATATAGATGCACTGAAACCTAACTAGTGCTGTTGTTGTATCTAGGACCTGTGCCTGAAGAAGAGTTCTCATTTAGATCCTGTTTTGATTATGTAAATAGTTAAATTGTAGTTGATTAAAATGACTTGATGAGATAATTTTAATGCTCCTGTAGTGTCACGTTATGGCAGACTTGAAAACAATTTGGTCTTACCCTCGAATACCAAGATGGTGCTGATGTGAGTGAGGACAGTAACACGCATGCTTTAAAGTTAATCAAGGGTTGTCTGAGGCTGGTTTTGAATAGTGGCAGTTATCAAAGAATGTGGGCTAGAGGGAGGCTTGCTTGATTGGCTTGGGACTTCTCTTACTTTTCACTTACCATCCAGGAAGGGATGCAGACAGGCTTTTTCTGTAAATACATGCTCTGGTTCCATTAAATTTTAATATTTAAATACGCACGTACTTCATTTCAGACTTTGTTGTCTGAAAAGTCAAGACTTGGTCTACTGAGTATGTGCTGTCTGCATCTGTCAGTGGCCTACTCAAAGGGAGGTGCAAGGATGGTTTCCAGTGGTGTGTACTGCCTAACTTGATGCCTTTTGGAGGTACGTTACTGTTAGACCTCAAGTTCTGCAGATCTGACTGAGTTAAAATTAGTAAAGTCATACTGAGTTCATTGAAGGGTTAGACCTGTCAGCCAACTGAATCTTCTCACATGCAGTTTCAAACCACTCCTGTTTAGTACCAGCAGCACTTGTATAGGCTTGAAAAAACTCAGAAAAGTAGCCATGTCTTGTAGTGTAACCTACAGCACTGAGATCGTTGGTAGAAGCATCCCCCTGAATGGTTCAGGTGCTGCATTTGAGGGAATACTTTCCACACTGTTTTCATAAAGGGATTTACTTTATCCCTTTACCGAGTTGTTGTGAAACACTGATTCAGTTCTCTTCCTCCCCCCTCACCAGGTTACAGAAAATAATGAAATGCAGGAAAATATAATCTATTCTTACAGAGTATGTGTATCCTAGCAAATTATCAAGCAAATTATCAAGAAAAAAAAAAAAAAGGCATTTGCTCTTGCCATAGTTCCAAGTCATTCAGTCTGTATGAATATCTCTGTATAACTATAATTGTTCTGTATAAATACATTTATATATTCTTCATCTCTAGATACCTGCTCGAACAAGACTTTCCAGGCATGCGGATTGGTCCAGAACCTACCACGGATTCTTTTATTGCTGTGATGTATGGAGATACAGAAGGAAATGTTCCTGGAAATGCCCTAGTTGTGGATCCTAAGAAGCCATTCCGCAAACTCAGCCGCTTCGGAAATGCTTTCCTGAACAGGTGGGATCTGCTTGCTTGTTGTCTTCTGATGTTTATGTTTAAATTTCTGTGTGTTCTATTTAGAACAGCATGGAATAAATATTCAAATACAAGCAAGAGCAGTGGCAGTTCAAATGAATTTAAAAAAAAAAAAAAAGCAAGCAGTACTAGGTAGGGTGGGTACCGTTAGGATAGAGAGGTTCAGTTTTCTGCACAGGAAATTCTTATTAAAACCAGTTCACAGAAAAAGGCTGAAATGCTCCACTGGGTGACTTGTTTGTAAGGCATTACACCAGCTGGAACTCAGGATGTAAATTATTCTGCTCAATAAAACTGATAGGTAGTGCTATTGATGAAAGCTACCATCCAAAAAAGTGCAAAAAAATTTTCCTTTTGATGCTGTCTTGTTCCTTTCCACTGGTCTCACTGGATGTCTTGGTATAGCTCTTTAAAATTGTGAATTTCTAGGATATGTAAAAAGGCCTACAAAAGTGGAGAAGATTTGAATGTGCCTTCTGGAGAAAATATGTACTTAAGCTCTTAATTGTTTATTTTTGACTAGCTGGTCTTCACAGACCATAGTTCCATAGAGCCTGGAGATAGTGTTACCTTCTGGATGGCTTCTGTGTATTTCTAAAAAGGGAAGAGTTGTTCAGGGGCTGTGAGTATTGCCATAGTAAACTTAAGTAGCGTGCTAAGTATTTCCAGTTAAAGTTATTAATAACTTTGTTCACATTGTCTGAGCAATCACCTTGTTTTCTTCCTGTATTTGATGGTAGCTTGACATGGAGGCTTCACTTCGCAAACCAGTTAATCTAAATTGGTTCTTTTTAACAATAAACTTTCCTGTTTGGCCGATAAACACTGGCATATGTGTTAAAAGTTCATCATGTACAGTTTTATCTTTTGCCATGCTTATTCAACAAAGAAAGTTTATAGCTGCTTATAGTTGGCTTGGCTATCACTTTGCTGAGATAAGAATATGTGCTGTGGAAAGCTGCAGCCAAGTCGCATTTTAAATAATAATTTTTAGATTATTGTCCGAGTTCTGTTCTCCGGATCACGATTCCATTTCTCCTTTTTGCCACCATTGTGTTCCTTCTATGAATAGTTAGCATACTCTTAAGTTGTATTTTGCACAGTATTCAAATATTTGCACAGAACATATGATAATGGTATGTGTTTACTTAAATGAACAGTATAGACATAACTTTTTTGCCTAAGTCATCTCTCTAACTACTTGTATCACGTCCTGAATATTATGCAAGCAAGATTATTTGCTGCCTAAAAAGATGTACATTCAAAGTAACTGACTAAAGTACTCCAGTTCTTTTTGTGACTGTGATATTGTTATATTGAAGTGCTGTGAGCAGCCTTATCTTACCCAACAGTCACATTTGCTCCTTAGTTTTGCAGCAAAGATCTAAATGCTTATATTACTTTAGTGTCACCCTTAGTCTGCCTCTCTGATCACATTGCTACTTTTTCAAAATTTGTGAACTCCTTTTGCTTCATGACTTCCCCTAAGTTGAAAATGGCTTAGGCTTCAGTATCTTTGAGTAACTTGCCCGGGATCTTACCTGCAGTCATGCTACATATTTTACTTTGCCTTCTCTCATTTGCCATGCTGACAGTACTTTATACCTAGGATCACATTTTTCATTCCTGCCTTAATAGACTTTTCTCTGCTTCCTCCTTCCTGCTCCCACTTTATGTTTAAATGATTTCCCAATCCTAGTGTTTTGCCTCATGGAAGAACTTAAGGTTATGGATATTTAGTCTAGGAAGTTAAGTGCCCTTTTCATCCAAATGCAATAATCCAAATGACAGGAAACAGGGACTGAGGTAATGGAGAAACTAAAACAAAAGAAGAACACAATAGTACAATCAAGGCTTGTACTTAGTAATTAGCCACATTAATTTATTGATGTTACCTTGCTAGTTTTTTCCATGACTGCTTCTTATTTCCCTCTGTATCTCACTGCTTGGGAGAGGTTTTCCTTTGAGACTTCTGAGTGTAGAAACTAGTCTCTTATTTCTCCTGTGTACTTCTAAGAAAAGTTGGGGAGGGAATGGAAGGGGGACAGGACCTCGTGTGCCCTTGGATGCAGGTGAGGAAAAAATATTGCATTATACACTATGTAAATAAGTCAGTGCTGCTGAGAAGAAATGCATGGCCCAGCTCTATTATGATATGTCATAAGCCATTACAGTCATCTCATTCACACAACTGTTTTTGTAACACTTTTCTTTGGTGAAAGTCTGTTTGTCATTCAGGTGGTGAGTAGGTAGTTTTGTTTTTTCTGGTGCAGCATTTGTGTGACCTCCATGAAGTGGGCTTTTTTAAGAAAATGTTGAAAAGAGATATTCAAATACAACTAGCATTACAGTTCTAAGTTGTCTGAAATATTAGTTTGAGGTAAGATTTTTAACCTATCTGTCACCTTTAGTTTATCTGGGTATATTCTAAAAGTTACAGCCATTTAATTCTGAGTTTATTCTTCTATTTCATATGTGTTTCCCATATACTTTTCTCCTCCTATTACCACTAATGACTGCTGCAAAGACAGCAGTGTCTACATTTCTGAGGCCTGTAGTTCCGTTGTCTGATACAGATACTGCTGTATTGTTCAGCTGACATAAAAGGGCCTGTCTTCCTATATCATATGTCTAGAAACATGTCAGTGATACTAAACAAGTGCTGGGCTGTCTAAGATTGAATGAAAGTGATAAGAAAAAACATACATGAAAATTCACTCTTAAGAGTTCCAAATTTATGAAAGCTACTTCATGCTGTACATACTAGTGATGTATGCTTTTTGTAATGGCTTACGTGATGAAATGTATTTTCTTCATTGCTCTTTCAAAAGCATCTCTTAAGCTAGTAGAAAATTAACCTTAGTGAAAGAATTTTCTTCGGATATGTGGTATTTTCTACACTGGTGTCCCACTAAAAACACAAACAACCCCCCCCCAACCAACAAACAAAACCCAAGAAAGGTACTGCTGTTTACATACTGTAAAGTTTTATCAGGCCCAGATGGCTGCTGTTTCCCTATCTCCTCTTGGGTTTCAGGGAGAGGCGTGGCTGATGCTGCCATGTCTGCTGTACGCAGGAAGGGATGCTGTGTGCTTTTGTTACAGGCTCGTTACTACAAGGTCCACTGAAAAACAAGGTGAAGTATTGTATAAAGTAGCATCCATATTTTGATATAACTTGCATTCTGTATCCAGTATTTGCCTACCTGAACTCTTCCTAGCTCAGATTATCTTTGGTCTCAAAATTCTTGTCTGACCTTGGCACAGTTACAACTTGCTGTCCGTGATAAGCTGTTTTTTGAGGTAGCACACCTTCTGAAGCCATGGGTTGATGCAGGGCAGGCATCCTTACAGCCTGAGCCTGCAGCTTAACCCTGTGCTGGGCAGCCTCGAATTAGGAGGTAGGTTACACTGTATGCTTGTTAGTAGTCTTCAGCTGCTCCTGGTAAGAAGATTAAACTCTTAATGCAAATCTCTTAAAGGCAGTTTATGATGAAGGACGCTGAAGTTCTTCAGTCATAAACTATCCTAGAACCATGAGAGTAGCTTGGATGTAACACACCAGGTGTTCTGCAGGGCTCTGAGTCCTTGTGAATTATTTATTTTTCAATAATACCACCACTGAATTTGTCTCCTGTTGCAGAGGCAGGAGCTTATTGTTTAAAGCATGCTGTGTGTAATTTGAATTCTTGGTTCAAGCAGTGTGAAGGTTTTGGCTGGGTTTGTGGGTGAAATAGTTTTTTCCACAAGCCCCACCTGAGGAGAGCAGCAGATTATGTAGTGGGGACTGCTCAAATGCTGCTGGACCAGGTGAGAGGAAAATATGCCAGGGACTGGAACATAAACATACCATCAGTATGGCTTTCTGCCTGCTATCCTTTTCTTTTCAGTCTCTTTGAATTTGGGTATAAGTTGGAGTACATGAAAAGTTTTCTTTTGTGTATGCTAATTTTGGTCCTAGCAAAAATGGTGATTTGATGGAGTCTTTTTAATGTTGCATTTAAGGCCCATGTTGTCAGCTCTTGCAAAATTTGGAGTTTTATCAACACTTACACATACAATTTTCCAAGGTTTTCCTTTGTTTTCTTTTTTGAGAAGTTCTCTTTATATTTTTTCTTAAACGTGTGTAGTTGTCAAATAATATAAGGGTTCATCAGGGCTTCAGAAACTTCTTTAAATCACTTGAGTCTTTCTAAAATCAGATACATAATGGGGAGCTCTCAAACAACAATCTGTATGAGAGCTAGAGCTATTGTTAATGGTTTTCTTTCTTCCTTCCTTCCTGTAGGTTCATGTGTTCTCAGTTACCAAACCAGGTACTGAAAAGCATCAGTATCATCGACAGCCCCGGCATTCTCTCTGGAGAGAAGCAGCGCATCAGCAGAGGTGAGTTGCAGGGCTTGACAGTAACCGATCTCACTAACTTTTTTTGCCCTATTGAACAAGTCAGCATTGTAGTCTGTTGGGAGTGTTTTTAGTGGAACTGACTGGTGATGTGTCCCAAACTTTCATACTGCAAGCCCTGTTAAATCCATGTTTTAAGGCTAGATGTAGGATTTGGAATTTTGTCTCTTGAAAATTGGTGGGGGTTAGGATTTCTGTCATCCTGCTGCTATGGCTGCAATGGCTACAATTACATGGTCTGTTGCCTAATTAGTGCCTTGACACTCCTGAGAAAAAGCCTTATTTTCAGAATTTTAATTGCTTTTGACAAAGTAATGATAGACACATACAGACACTACTGAAGTTCAGGAATGAAGATATGTTTCATAATAGCTATAGGTTGGTCATGTCTAAAAAATGAGGGGGTTGGGCCATAAACAAGACGGTTTTATAGTGGGCAAAGCTGCTAGTGTTGTTTCTTAAGGTTGCTCAGTCATGCCATAATATAACTTCCAGTCAAAAGAGTTCCAGGAGGAAGAGGAAATGAGAATATTTTTAATAATATGAAAATTCTACAAAGAACTGAATGCTGTTTAACAAGCTGTTTAAGAAATTAGGCTGTCTTTGAGAAACTATTTAAACAAAAGCAGTGTAATGTAAACAACTTTCTTCCTTGCTTTCTGCAGCTGCATTTTAAGTGCATGTCAGTTTTCTGTGGAGCTGTAAATCGTAGTGATCCAGGGTGTGGGCTTATACTGCTCTCTGTTTTCAGACTTTTGCTTAAGAAATGGAAACTTGTGTTTCATGTCTGTGTGAGAGGAAATAAACAGTTCTTTAGCATACCACACCTGGGATTTTTTTAGGAAATTCTGGTGTGAGCACAATATAAGGCAGCTGTGCAACAATACTCTTGTCTCTACATTACACTGACAGAACAAGGGACTAACTTCTTAGGACTGTAATCTAAATTATACTGTTTTAGTAATCTAGTCTACTAGATGTTTCTGGATTCTTTTGTCAGTGAAATTTTGTCCTCTTTATTACTCATACAGTCAGGTGAAGCATTTATCATGAGGGGAGCACTGTGCTTTCCTTTGTGGTCTATTGGTGAACTAGTAGAGGTGAACAGTATGAGTACTCTATGTCTGTGCAAGCAAAGGCTTGAATGTTGTGAAACCAGAAATAAAACAAATACTGCATGTTGGACTCTTATTTCTAGATGGAAGTAGAGTGTATAACTAATGGTCTTTAATCCTGAAAAAATCTTCTCATAAATGTGTAGGTCTCATTTTACAGAGTCTGATAAAATCCAAGATGGTCTTAAATCTCCAACTTCTGCTTCTCCATTGTGGATTCCAGCTCCCTGTTACCTCCTTAAAGAAAAACTAAGTGCATCTCACTCCCTCTATGCTTGTTAAATTGAGACAATGATGCTTGGCAACATTCAAGTCTCTGTTGCCACTTTCATAACATTATGGAAGTGAATATGAAATAAGCAAAAAACTAGACTATGACACTGAAAAGGTGAGCAATTCTGTAATTCAACAGCATTAGTTGGAAGTCTCAGACTTCCATGTGCAAGACAGTCATGTCACTCTAGATTATGTTTAACTCAGTCCTGTGTTGCCTAAAGGACTGTGGCTCTTCACTGCCATCTAGAAGTGTTCTTGTAACTTGTCAAAGCATATGACTCTTGTTTTCTTATTGTTCAACTCTTGTTTCTTGATGGTATGTACCTTATCAATTGTTAGGGCCTAGGTGGCTGCCCTTTGATATGGTAGACTTTCACCTAAGTTAACATAGCTCAGTGATGACCTCAAACTCTTAACTGTTTTGCAGGCCTTAACTTGATTAGATTGCATTTCATGAATTTTTTCAATGTGTTAAGGGTTGTCTTGAATGTGTCACTTGTCATAGTTCTTTTATCTCAAACGTGATTCTCCTGTATGCTGTTAGGTTTAATCAGTGCAGTTGAACCACATATAAGATTTTGGGAGTTGGCTTTAGAACACTGTTTTCTCTGTGCCCCAGGCTTTCAGGATGGGTTAAAGATTTCATATGCTTGGGCATCAGCATACATAAAGTTATCTACAGGGGACTGTGGGCTTATTGCATGCACCTATTCCATGCTATCATGATCAGGCAATACCAGGCTCATCTTTGGCTGAAATATTGCATAGTCAGATACATTTCCTGTATATGGTTCTTGGGCTGCTTATGCTGTTTCCATATAGGTGGGGTTTGGGGTACAAACTTGATTTGTCCTGTTGGTGCTGTGCACAGCAAGGCTTGTCTGACCTGCTTCCTGAAGGAGTCAGTCTGACTTAAACATATTTATGCTATAAATCTATGTTAGCATGTTTTGAAGTTTGAGTTGCTTTGGTTACTTTTTTAATCACTGTGTGCAAATGTAAGCAGGATACTACAAGATCTCTTCTACTGTCCCTAAATGCGTCTCTGTCAGGTTCTTCTGAAGAGAAGAAGAACCTCTGAAGGTTCTTCTTTCTAGAAGTTTAGCTTGTGTCTAACATTGGTGAGTAGCAGCTTTTCTTATAGGCGATGTTTTAAAGTCATTGATGGAAGAATAAGGTTGCAGGGCCTCGGTGTAAAGTGTTAACTCTTTGTTCTTGGTGTGTTTTTCCCACCTTCTCACGAGCAACTGCTTAACTGTTTGCCTATGAATTAATGTAATACCTGCGTAGTGATAAAACTTGTCAGGTATCACTAGGAGCAAGGTGAAGCCTTCTGAAACAAAGGAGGGAATCAAATGTTAACTTTGTTTTAAAATGGAGGAAAACAATAAAGGGACTTTGTAAAAACACAGGACATGCACTATTTCCCAGCACAGCTCTATTTTTAACTCTGGAAAGCATCCAGACTGTGGATGAAGGAGCTGATTGCTTGAAGGGTCAAAAATATACAGAGTGCAACATTCGAAGATGTCTCGTGACACACCTTTCCTGCTCCTGTTGTTGGCAGGAGGATATGCCAGAAGCTTCCTGTCTGTCACTTCAGGGGCTGTATAAGTGGCTGGAGGGGAATATGCAGACATGTGCCAGAATTGTCCTCTGGTCAGACAATGCCTGTCCCTGTGCTGTTTCTGCAGCATGACTTGTGATGTTCACAGTGTCCGTGTCAGACAGAAATGTGCGTATGGTCTGCAAGATTTGGAAGGAACACTGAGTGTCTGGCAGGATGTAGGGAGGAACCACATTTAGGAAGGCGAGGGGGGATTTGTAAACGATTGAGTGGCAAGAAAGCAAGTCTTTCAAGAAGTGTGAGGAAAGAGCTCAGGGGAAAGTGGATATTGGTTAGTGTGCATTTCTAAAACTGGAGTTACTTAGGTACAGATAATTTTCACAGTTCAATCTGCTTGTGAAAGTGTGGTTATGGATTAAATAAGGTGATATATATAGTTGCAGCATTGTGCCAGGCTTTCCCTTGCAGTGAGACACTGTACATTCTCCTTATTAGTCCACCAACAGGAGCGCAGTAAGTGTGTTATCCAGGACTGCTGGATTAAGACAAGCTTTCATTAATATAACTGGAAACTTCCGCTCCAAATAGCAGGAGGGTACATCTTTCCATGTGTGACTGAGCTCTCTGAAAGACTGGGAAATTAGATTCTCGTCTGTGGCATTAGAAGAACAGCAGATTGGGTAGGGGAGAAAGGCTGCACTTGTTCTTGTCCAAGTTGTGTGTTGTAGCCTTGGTTGTGTGGTGCTAAGACAGCAGTGGCAGATGGGATTGCTCTTGCTCTCTGCCACACCTGATTGATTTGGTAGGTTGTTGGTGTTCTCTGAGCTTGGGGTCTCCTCATTGCAGCACTTACCTGAGAAGTGCCTCTCTGCTGCTGTGCCAATGGTGCCAGCCCCAGGGGTGGAAGAACTCGCCACTCCACCTGCCTGTCTGTGCTAAAAGAGGATGGGTGGAGTCCATCAAGCCTCCCAAATCATTTTCTGAATTGCAAAAGCTTTGGAAGATGATATTAGGGCAAGTCAGAAGTTGTTTACCTTGGGGCCACAAGGGAAAGACAACCATTTTTTTACATCTGTATCACTAACTGGCACAGAAAATTGACCCATGTTCAAACTGCACAACTGCAATCTGTATCTTTGAGTATGGCTAGTGTCTGCCCTGCACAGGACACACTTTGCCCTGTGCTGCTGACATGTAAGAGCTCTTGATCATTCATCAGTGTTTCCAGAGCTGGTAACCACATAGGGTTTCTCTCTGCGTTTTTCATCCCTTCCACACAGTTTCATCTTGTTCTCTTCTGTTATCTCTGCTCAGCCCATTACTGATGCCCAACAGTTATGCCTCTGTGTGAGACACCAGCTCGCTCCCTCCTGCATCTTGGGATGAGTTGAAGAGCTCCACAGTTCTGCTTTGCTCTGTCCCTTAGTACAAGGGTGACTTGCCACTTTCTAATATGCATTTACGAGTAGATGTTGAACCTGGTAACATAAAGGTCCTCAGTCTGGATGGAATTGTTAACATCAGTCATTGGAAACAATCCTTTGAAGAAATAGCAACAGTTAGACCAAGAAGAGGCTGAAGGTATCAGCACAAAAACTTTTTTGCTCAAGTTTTCCAATCTGATCAGTGTTGACCTAGTACTGCTCAACTTTGAAAGCCACAGTCCACACATGTGTATGAAAATACTTCACCATATAGTACTTCTCTGTAGTTCAGATATGCTCTAATGTAAAACTGCTGAATCCATAGAGAAATTAGGTTCACTTCTATTGACAAATTTTCATTAAAATTAACAGATTTTTGAGATTTTTTTTGAGGTATTTCTTAGCCATTTTCAGCAAGCAGAGTTTTCTTTCTCAAAGCAAGTGCTTCATTAAGATTTAATCCACATTTAAAGTAAATTAATTTATTTATACACTTGTTGCCTGTACAGTTGGTTTTTTAGTTCACAGACCATCAAATGTGTGGTGAGAACTTAAGTAACTGGGCTTTTAAGTCACCTTCTCACATACCCATTTGTGTAAAACTTAATAGAATTTAACTTGCTTCAATTTGCAATTTTTTTTAAATTCAACCATATTTCCTTTCATGTGAGTGAAAGCATAACAGACCATTGTGTAACTCAGCTTTACTGTGCTGTTGCAGTTATGCTGTAACATGCAAGGGACATAGAAGATCTCACTTCTCCCTTTATTTCCTGCTAAATTTTTATAAATTACTCACTCTGATTTTGATTTAGATGCATGCTGTAAAGGGAGAAGACTTCTCTTTTAAAGATGTTTTGTGCAGCTTTCCTCCTTGACCCCTCAGCTTTCATCTTGCATTCAGCCCTTCAGAAACTGGTCACAAGAAAGAACTTAGGAAAGCAGCATTATCAGCTTTTTAACATAGGCCCCTCCTTTCACAGTTTGATGTGTCTGTCTGGTTTTTTAGTGGAGTTTTATGATCTTTTTCAATTTTTTTTGAGGGGGGTGGCAGGGCAGAAAATAAATGTAATTGGGGATATTTTCTCACTATTAACTAGTATTTCTGAATTTAATTTCACATGCTATGTGTAATTTTTAAATCAAAGGTTTAAGGATGAGTTATTTCCTGAGTTGCAAAACATGCACAAGTATGCTCCATGACAAATGTGGAGGTAATTTTTTCCTACTACATTCATGTACTTCTGCTTTGCTTGATGTTGGTCCTATTCAGGTTCTACTGGAAAGCAAAAAAAAAACCCCGAACAAACAGCTGATTTGTTTTTGGCTTCCCTGTTGAAGACCAACAACTTGAATATATAATAAATAATGACTCTTAAGAAAAGCTAAGCAGCTTCATGGTGTTTCCTCCTACACCATTTATTTTCACTGTTTAAAAGATGCTAGGGAGAATGAAGAGTGATGAAGGGTCTTTTGCTTGCATCTGTTCATAAACACTGGTTTATGAAGTGTTTGCCTTATGTATGAGTAGTATATTTGGGTTTTCTTTGCTGGGAGATTGGAAGTTTAAAGGTTTATCTTGCACAGTTGAGAAATGACCAAAGACACCCTGGTAACTGACCTTTCTTTGCTGTTGGCATTTGAATATATACTGCTGGGAGCAAAACTGTTGATTCTGTTTGGATTACTTTACAGCAGTTGTTTGATTTTGACTGTTCCCTCTTTTGGATCTGATTTGTTTCTGAGAGGAAGAGAAGGGGAGGGATATCAGCTCCCAGCTCATACTTTGCTGTTCCTTACTCATACAAGATGAGTCACATCCACACTAAGCCTAATGCCACATCACCGGTGGTGACTCTGCGGATTAAATGTGTCACTTTTGAATAAGGAGTTCCTGAATACTGTTTGTTGTGTGGATTAGGTACCAGCTGCACTTATAAAAGCGTTTAGACAGGTACTGGGAATAGGCTTTCCTTTAGAACATGACAAAGCTTGTTTCAGATGGTCAGAAAGGTCACTGCTCATGTTCTGTAATCTGTCATGTCCTCAAAGCCATCAGAAATGCAGTCACATTGCACGTAAATTGTATTTTTGAGCCTGCTGTGGCAGAAATAGCAACAAGTGATGTAACACAAGGAGAGATGAATTTGGACATGCTTTTAAAATCCAGATATTTCTGGTTGCTGACTTGCATTGGAATGCTGCATCTTCACCATGTTTTCCTTGTTAGCTCCGATAAGCACTGCTACCAACGTGGCCAGTGTTAGTAACGATGAAGAGAGATTGTGATAAGAGGCCCACAGTCCTGTTTGGCTTGGGTGCTGGAGCCAGAACTCCTGGGAAAAGGCAAACATGGGTGTGAGACAATAACTCACAGCAGCACAAAAGATAGTGACATAAGAGATGGGTGGCAAGGTCAAAAGAAGGGCAATGATAAAAACAAAAACTGGTAATAGTAAGAACTGGTCTAAGGAAATGCAGGATACAGTTGTCCTGACCTCACTGTCTACAGGTAATGTCCTCCTGGTGGTCCATCTCCTCTTTTCCCCCAAGTAGAGGCTATGATCCCCTTGTTCTCTTATCTCCAGCCCTACCTTCTCTGATACTTGTTTTCTGAATGGTAGGACTGTAATAGTATCTTCTTCCTTCAGGCTATGACTTCTGCCAAGTCCTCCAATGGTTTGCTGAGAGGGTCGACCGCATCATCCTGCTGTTTGATGCCCATAAGCTGGATATATCTGATGAGTTTTCAGAGGCTATTAAGTCATTCCGGGGTCAGGATGACAAGATTCGAGTGGTGCTTAATAAGGCCGACCAGGTGGACACACAGCAGCTGATGAGGGTCTACGGTGCACTCATGTGGTCCTTGGGAAAGGTGATAGACACGCCAGAGGTCCTGCGGGTCTACATTGGCTCCTTCTGGGCCCACCCTCTCCGAAACACAGAGAATCGAAGACTCTTTGAAGCCGAGGCACAGGATCTTTTCAAGGATATCCAGAGCCTCCCGCAGAAGGCTGCTGTGAGGAAACTCAATGATCTCATTAAAAGGGCAAGACTTGCAAAGGTAAGAAAACTAAATGAATTGAATGAGCAGTCTCTACTGCTCTTTGATTGTGTCCTTTCTCACCCTTCCCAACCTTTCTCTAGTAACTGTGTTTTTAGAAAATGGATTGAATTGTCACTTTTTCAAGAAAGAGGTAGCCACTCAGAATATAAAATCAAATAGGAGGAAACAGAGACTTGTACTGGGATACCTCCCTACTTTGGAGAAGGAATTTGATGCTTTTTTTAGACCATTAAAGGTATTGTTTGCTTGGTAGAGGAGTGGATTTTTTTTTACACTCTGCAGCAAGTTGACCTTAAGGTTACTTTTTGGAGATAAACCACTTTTTTGACAAAGTAGAGAGCACTAAAAAAAAGGAGGAGGTGATAAAAAACCTCAACCAAAACTATTCACACTCAACACACCATATGCTTTGTTTGTACATTAATGCCTTAATGCATACTGCTGCAGTCACCTTCTGTAGAAAAACACTTTGACTAATGCATTTATATTATACCCTGGAATAAAAGACTGATTAAAAGTCTCGCTTTTGGTGAAGCACAGATGGAGAAGTGACGGAGAAGTGCTTCTGTGTTATTAGATTGAAACTTTTGAACCTTTCAGATTATATCTTCATTCCCACTCACAGAGATATTGGTAGTACAGATTTTGTGTCAATATATCCAGGAAAACCAGTTGTGTAGGCAGCCCCTGTCACCATTCACCTTGGTTTCAGCTCTGGAGGAATACATACTCTGTCTGCAACTTACAGTCACTAATTAGTTTGCTTGGGCAGGTTGTGTGTGACAACGCTGTGACTGTCTACAGCTGTCTGTTGACAACCTGTTTAATTTTTTTTAATAGGTCTCTAGTTATCTTTGATAAATGAGTGGATGTCATTAAGTTTTGTGAATTGCCACCAAGTTTTAATTATCTATATATAAAACCTTCAGGTTATATTTTACACTAGCCTTCAGACTCCCTGCCTAGCAATGCTAGCTTCATCTGTCCTTTCTTCTCACAGAAGAATGACCTTTGATTGCAGCCTGAAATATTTCTTTGCCTGTTTCTCCGATTCTGCAGTGAATTTTTGTAACACCGTAGCTGCTGTTAGGATAATAGTTAAAAGAACTGCCAAGCTGTTTGTTGTTTTGAAAATCTCAGAAAACAAAATTTGTCATTTGGAAAAATGGATACAAAGGAAAACTAACTTCAGAAATACTTAGGGACAAAACTGTTGGTAGCAAACAGGAGTTCTAATTTCCTGTGCAGTTATCAACCAGAATGTGAGTTTGAGTTAATGCAGTTGTCTTAGAACACATTTCAATGTGGACTTCTAAGCAAAAACAAAGAGGACTTGAATTTACATTGATATATAAATAGTGTTTTGGGATATGTACCATTTCCTATGTTGGCTTATTTAACTTTCTGAATTTGATGATACACTTTTTTTTTTCCTTTTGTGGCTTGAGCTTTAGGGACACCTAGTAGAAAATGCTTCTTTGAAAATTCTATTTAAAATCACAATGATGTTGTCTTAAAAGTTGCTCTGATCTCAGTTTGTTTTGTGCCTGTTGTTGGCAGCTTTTTGTTTTCAATTGTTACAATCATTTTGGCGTTGAAAAAGCATCAATTGAATAATTTTTAGTGTTTCTATGAAACATAAAATAAAAATGGATAAACATGAATACAAAATACAATGCTTGTAGGGTTATGCTAATTAGACAGCTGCAGAAGGGGAATAAACTGTTTATCTGCAGGAAAGCAGCAATGTAATCCTTCCAGTGTTGTCTTTTTATCTTTGAAACTGAACTCTAAGTACAACACTCAGAAATCTTTTTTTACAGCATTGCATGGATGGTTTTTTTGCCCTATTTATGTGCTACCCTGTTCTGAATCTCTTCTAACACTTGTACAGTAACTAGAAACAAAAGCAAACCCTTAATGTGATGTCAAATTTGGCCATTAGGCTTTTGGCCTTTTCCTTTTTTTTTTTTTTTTTTTTTCCTAGTGACTCACTATCCCATTTTGAAGATGGGAACTGTTCTTATCTACAAGAAACACATGTGCATACTGGCAGACCTTAAGCCACTTAGGATACACATGTGAAATAGTTAGTGCTTGTGAATTATAAACATACTTTTCTGGTTTTGGTAGAAGCATTATTTTAGACATAAGGTCCATAAAATTACTTGCAATTACTTGTAAACTGTCTTTAAAATGTTCTTATTGAATCCCTTGTGTATTATGGAGAAATACATCTATCCTCTTAGAAAATTTCATTATTTTATGCTTATGTTGGGTGTGCAAATAAAAACTGCTTACATAATTTTTATTGAAAACCAAAGATTTTTCCCCAGTTTCCTCCTAAATAAATAAGGAAATGAATGGGAGAGAATTGCCATGTGCAGATTGTGTAAGGTTTATATAGAATACTATGATATACATTTTATCATGGTTTGGTAGGTATAAGTATGAGACTTACACTGTATCTGAGCAGTCACTTGTTTCACTGATGCTTTTCAAGGGTAGTTTGTCTTCCCCCAGTCTCCAAAATGTCAGCTTTTTATTGCTTATCAGTGTGCTGGACATTTTTCTTTTTAACATTTTTTTCTCTGTGTGTGAAAATTGTAAGTAACTTCTTTTTTGTGAACAGCTGCATCCTTTTTAAGTGAAGAAGAACATGAGTTCTCTAAAGGCATCCTGTTGTGGAGGTCATTTGTCTTTAGTGGTCCCGGCCAGGTCAGAGCTTAGGAAAGGAGTTTGTTAATATCAAGTTGTGATAGTCGTGCTCTGCTTCTAAGACCACACTTGTGCCTTCCTTCTTATGTGTAAAACAAGTACCACTGACCACACAATGAGCTGGATAAATGAACTCACCTCAGTTAAGAAGTGCAACCACTGTTTCAGTTTTAGACCTGGTCACTCACTGTGTTGCCAAGCAGCTCATTTAGGTAATGAAAAGCTGTGGGAGAGTGGGAAGGGAGATGAGATGAATAGTTCAGGATAAAGGTAGGAGGGTGCATGAGCAGGATGGATATTTGCATGGCAATGTTGGATTGTCTCGATCATGGCAGAAGGGAAGCTCTAAGAGCTCTGCAAGTATCAATGTGTTTAAAGAGTAGTTATCCTAAATTACTGTATTCTTTATATGCTGAAAAGGCTCTACTTTTCTGCCTAAGGGTTTGCAAGGCAGCCATTGCATGCTGCTCCTGTAGTATACTGATGGCTCTGTCATCTCCATAGGTGGCTGCATGTATATAGACTACTCACTTTTCTGTGAGTAAATAGGTAGGATTGCAATGCCTCTTCAGATAGATAGCCCTACCACTTAGCATACTTGGATTACTTTTGGAATTATCCCATTGATTCCCACAACAGTTAGGGAGGCAAATGAGTTACAAATCTCTATCACTGAGACAGATGGACCAATATGGGAGGAGCTCCATTTATAGTGTCAGGTTTTAGGGGGCCTTGCTTTATCTCTCTCTGTTGATACTCATAGAATGCTGTACCATGCTTCTTAAAACTGCAAGTATGCATCTGTATTTCTTTTAAATGGGTTTCCTTTCTCTTTGACCCTCCAAGAAATGCTGAAAGCAGCATGTTCATGTAAACACAATGTTCCAGAAACAGTGCTTGATAATTTCTTCTCCTTGAGCTGACTTAGGGAAACGTATTTCTGTTTCTTTTTATGACCTGGGTGAACAACACTAATTGGAAGTGTAGGTAAACAGTAAGCTTGATTTTAGTTTTGCTTCTTCTTAGGTTCATGCTTATATCATCAGCTATCTGAAAAAAGAGATGCCCTCTGTATTTGGAAAAGAGAACAAGAAGAAGGAACTGATCAACAAATTGCCAGAGATCTACATCCAGCTGCAAAGGGAATACCATATCTCAGCAGGGGACTTCCCTGAAGTCAAGAAAATGCAGGTAAGATGATAGTATTATTTCAGTGGAATTGTACTCCAAAATTCTAACAGGATTGCTGAGTTGGAAAAAGGTAGGATAGAGTATCTCAGCGTTACAGCTCAGGGTCTTCAGCAATAGAGCAGTTGAAGTGGGTCATGTGTATTTTATGGGATTAGAGTGACTTGGAAGCAGTGCAGAATCAAAAAAAAAGAAAAATCAGTACTTGCTTAGTGTGCATTCACTGATAAGGGACTACAGAAATTGTCATAAGGAATCTGACCTTTTGTCCTTTTAATCAGCATTTGGTCCCTTATGGCAGATAGTACTAAAGGTCTTGTGCAAATAAAATGGCAGTGAACACTTGCAGGTTAAGCTGGTTCTTGGTTTGCATCCTAAATGTGGTGATTTATATAATTTTTGTAATCCTATCACGTATTTCTGTAGGTGGAGGTATCCTTAGTCACAAGTTCATTTTCCCCTACTCTATTCCTGCTCTTACTGGCACTGTTTGCCAGTAATAAAGGCAATATATTACCAGGAAAGTCCAACTTAAAACGTGTCACTTTTGAAAATGGTCTTTCACTTCTTTCCTGTCCTGTTAAGCTTGTATTGTACAAGGGAGGGAGATAGAAGTTCTTGGTTTATACTTGCTGTTAATCTTTAAATACCTTTTATCTCTTCCTCTTTTGAGTTTTCTGCAGGCTTACAATCGACTTTCTGTCACTTTCTTGCCTTTTTCTTTCTGTTCTCTGATTTGAGACGAGCTGTTTAGAGAGTATCCTAGGGAAGAACAGCTAATGTGTTAACAATGCTTTCCAATTTCTTCCTCGAGCCTCAGTTTACAATTTTGGATCTCAGACCATAGACTTCTTAAATAGCTTTTGTATTGGAAGATAATTCAGCTTGGAAGCAGCAGCACAAGACATCAGGATCCTGCAGTTTGGTCTGACCATGGAGTAGTCATGATTGTGTTGAAGGATGTTTTCCAGAGTGATGCTGTGTATCATTCTGACAGTATATGTGGTACACTTGCGTAGCTAATTATCAAAGATGATGATTGGCTGAGTAACTTGTCTATAGAAATGCACAAATTTCTTTCATTAACTTGGGAATCAACTATTGCCAGGAAATACTAAATTACAGATGATACACAAGATGTATTTTAGCTAGGTTTTCACAGGCAGTGTTGTTGGAAGGGTTTCTTGAATTAGGCTTCAAAAGCAGATTTTGTGGGAAAGGTTGACTGATTCTTCCCTTGCTGCTTTTCTTTGTGATGCAAAATGGGAGAATTAAGAAGCTAGTATATTGTTAGTATATATATTATAAATTTGAATGACACTCTTTCAAACTTGGAGTTTGTGTTCCTTAAGTCTCAGCAGCAGATGGCAGCAAATATATACAGAAGAGATCAGTCACTTCTGTAATAACAAGCAGAACTGTGAGGAAACAAAACTGTGCCAAAACAGACAGGAAGTTTGACCTTTGCTTCCTAAGAGTTATTGCACAAAATAAATTTATACTGATCAGTATAAATCAGGTGGTTGTATAACTCACCTGAACTTTTAAGTTGATAATTGTTGGTTGACAGTTATCAGCCTGTGCTTCAGGTTTGTTGAATTCGTGTCATTATCATTTTGATATGTGTGGGAGCAGCTCCCAGAGATGATAGATGTGATTTATTAAAGCAGTGTAACACCATTTTAAGAAAGGGTGTGGGCTGGTGGTGGTGTTTGGGTCTTTTCTAACAGTTTCCACTGTAACTTTCTCTTCCTGGCAGGAATTTTGCATGTAGAAAGAGTTTAATAATTACCTGAAACATTTTTAATTTCCCAACACTCTAGTGTAAAATATGCTTGGGCTTGTGCTGGAATAGTATGTGTCACCTAGTTGAACATCTCACTGCAGTTAGTAGTTTACAGAAAAGATGAAAACTCTGCAAACTTTGCAACGACCACATGACTTCATGAGTTCTGGCAGCACTGCTATAAAAACAGTGGTGCTGTTAGCCCAACTCAGTTTTTCCGCATTGGTAACGGACACTTCTTCCTGACCTAACTACAAACAAGAATTTTTAATCTGTAAAATCAGATCAATCCTGCAAACTTTTGTTTTAATTTTTAACTTTAGGCACTTGCTTAAGTGCTAACAGGATTTACTTGTGTGTTTTCTTTGATGTTTGGAATGAAATCACCAAATGGAAAGTTGCTGGGTAACATTCATCAACTGCTGTGGTTTTATGCATTGTCATTTTGAAAATTGTATTGTAAATGTAATTTAATAGACAAACACAATGTTGCAAAATTGTCTTAGTGTGTTTGATTAGTCTATTGGATGTATGGTATATATGGGTCAGTTTTGGTTCTTCTTCAAGAGAAGTTTCAGTTATGGAAACACTTCAAAAGATAACAGATTATTTTAATTCAAAGCCCATTCTTTAAACTTTTCAGTGTGTTGGAAATGTTTCTAACTGCTGTCACTGAAATCTGTCATTCACAGGAGCTGTTGGAGAACTGTGACTTCACTAAATTTCATTCTTTGAAACCAAAGCTAATTGAAGCTGTAGATAACATGCTGGCCAACAAAATTGCCTCTCTGATGAACCTAATCAGACAGGAGGAGAGCAATATGCCCACAGAGATGGTTCATGGTGGAGCATTTGATGGCACCATGGCAGGACCTTTTGGCCATGGATATGGAGAAGGTGCTAAGGAAGGAGCTGATGAAGACGAATGGGTTGTTGCCAAAGATAAACCTGCTTACGATGAGATTTTCTACACTCTGTCACCAATCAATGGCAAAATATCTGGGATTAGTGCGAAGAAGGAGATGGTGACTTCCAAACTACCCAATAGTGTCTTGGGGAAGATCTGGAAACTTGCAGACTGTGATGGCGATGGGATGTTGGATGATGAAGAGTTTGCATTAGCAAAACATCTCATCAAGATTAAACTGGATGGGTATGAATTGCCTGGCACGCTACCTTCCCACCTGGTGCCACCGTCTCACAGGAAACCTTTCCAGACAGCAGAATGAACAACACAAGGAGAAGAATGAGGGTTTTGAAAATCTCTCAACAAACATGTGAAAACCACCAAAATTTGAAATTAGGCTTAGATCCTTTAACAGCACATTTCACGCAAGTTACTGAAATTAGAAGCATGGTAGCAGGGAAACATTCATGTAGCTGTTCCTGCTGATCTTCACTCAGACATGCTTATCACAAGTGCCTTTTATAGCTCTATCATACAGTGAAAATGTTTTTGTAGTCCAGTGTCCGTGTCTTGCTGCTTTTACAGCCATAAAGCAGAAAAGACCATGTATAAAAATTGCTGACCTTCACCAGTCCTAAATACTTACCAAACATAAGTTTCTCCAAACTATTCTAAATAGCACAAGGAAGCTCAAAATGTTAAATTCACCTGCCTATGCAAGGAATGTTTATATGCTAAAAATGTGCTTTAGGCATCAGTTGGGTGTTGGCATCTCTATGGTCTAAGGAAAACCTGACATAAAAGGAAATTTTATTTTTGTTCTTTTTATTATTTAATAGGGACTAGAGAAAGATAGAAGAGTGATGGGGAGAGTCTTGTAAGTGCTAAGAATATGAGCAGACTTGTTTTAAAACGTTACTGATTCTAGCTAGAACTGCAAAATACTAAAATTATTCTTTCAATCTGTCACTGTGTCTTTTTGTCTGAAGAACAGCTTCTTCAGTTTTACACAGCACTATATATTCAGTATTATCAGTATAAGAACTGAATCTCGTTTGTTCCTTGAATTTAGAATTTTCTTTGAGGTTTCAGTTTAGCTGCTTTGCAGACAGTAAATTCCTGAATGGTTCAAAGTGAAAGCAGGATGTTTTTTATAAGCTAAAAAAAAAATATGTATGCATTGAAATCAAGTCTCACTTTCGGTTCAGAAAAGGTGCATTGCTTAAGGTCAGTCCCTTCAAAGCACATCAAATTATCTCTAAAATTTTCAGTGGTATTTAATTTCTATTTACAGGTAATTATACAGTTATGTCAGTATTTTTTAATATATGATATATTTAAGAAAATTTTTTAACAATTTCTTTTGCCAACATGTAGCTGACAACCACAAAAAAGAGATTTGATTCCTATGCTGGCAGATTTGAAGGATGGGAAGGCTAACAGGAATCATTACATTGACTGTAATAAATGATAGACTGATCCCTCCAGATATTATTCTTTTATTCAAAACAATCCATGAAAGGAAGAGATGATTAATAAACATTAATTTTCTAACAACACAATCAAAGTTGAACGTATCATTTGCTTAAAGCTGATTTTTATCAGTACCTTAAAAGAATGCAAATTTGTGGCCTTGTGAACTCGAGTCTTTCAGGGAGGGCCAGTTCTTTTTGCAAATCAAACTTGGCAGTCAGTTCTACTCTGTGAGAAGGAATTGACTTGTATTCCATTTGAAGTATGAAATACCTTATACATCAAAGGTACTGTACTTTTCATTGAGTCTCAGTAGTAAGTGGCAGCAGTAGTGCCTTCTGAGACAGAGCAATGCAAAAAGCATACTTGCAGTAGGGGAGGGAAGTTGTTTGGATGTTGTCTGCCAGTTAAGGTTTTAGTCACGCTTCTGTGTTCAAATTTGTAGGTGACCTAATAGAAGGTCATACATTTGTAGGTTGTCGGTCAAGTTTATTACTTCAGATACTTCTAGACCTCTTATTCTTCTACATCTGTTCTGTTCTGATGTGAAATGAATTTTGCCAGGGCTCTACCATGGGAAAACAATGAAGCTATTTTAAGTAATGGCAGAAGAACACCTTTGCCTTGCCAGGCTTCTGGGCCTGTGTCAAGGATGTCCTGGCATAGTTAAATTGTTCTTGAGGACTTGATTATTTTTTTTTTTTCATTATTTGGTGGGTTTCCTATCATTTAAGCTGACCAACTTTATCTCTGCTAGGTCTAAATTAGGAGCCAAATTAACCTTAGTGCCTCTCTGTGCACTTCAGCAGAGCTGTAAAACATGACCCTGAGTCTGCCTGTCTGACTGTACATCTGCAGAGTAACTGTTTTCTATGTAATTTATTTTTAACTGAACAAAAAGTAGTCTATAGATGTTGCAGGTGTTAGGGAAAAAAAAAAGTGGAAGTAGTAATGTATGCATGTTTATGGGTATGTCTGCAGTCGGTAACAAGTGTATATACACTGTTCACCAGCTTAGTACTGTTGACTAGCTTAATAAAGACACCACCAGGAGAAAGAATGCAAGCTTGTGCATGTGAGTACTGTAGTGTAGGCAAAGCTGTGAGGATCTGGGAAGTTGCTGATCTTGCAGCTGCCTTACCTTGGTTTGCAGCAGCACAGGGTTACAGGGATGAACCCATGTTTGAGCTCCCACCATTTGTAGCTTCCAGGGCTGATTCTCCAAACACACTGGAGCTATGTGATCCTGTGCCAGTAGAAATATTCTCCTTCAGTGAGAAGAGCAGGATAGTTTCAGTGGGCTTATTTTTCTAGTTTTATTGGTAAAATGGAGAACACAGCTTTTTCCTCAGTCTCCGTGACAGTATGCTAACTTGGTCTTGAGGCAGACAAATCGAAATACGTCGTTTTGATAAGTTAAAATATTTTGCCTAGATGAGGTTGTAATATTTTGCTTTGTTTTCCTGTAGAATTTGGAAGGGAAATGTATGAAGAATGTATAGGAGTAGAGGTGGATTTTCTCTGGCTGTCTGGAGGAATAGAAGTGTTTCACAGTCATCATGCAGAGCTACGTGAATGTATTTATAGGTATATGGTGTAGTGAACTAGCATTGTACTTAGTTGATAGGAATAAAGTACATTTCATGTGAACTTTAAACAGCAGTTTCTTGCACAACTAAACTCATATAATAGATTGTTGTTGCTCAGGGGAAGGGATCTGTTTTCTCACTACCTCCTTGCAAATCCATCGGCCTACCCCATTTGCCTTGCTGGCTGTCTGGTTTATTGAATTCTGCAAGCCCATTCATTTAGCTAAACCAGCCACACACAGCTGTTTGGATAATGGTCTGTGAAGTTAGTTAATCTGTGTTAGAAGCATAAGAAGTGAGCAGGATTGCTTTCTCTTGTGGCGTTATGCTCTAAGTAGCTACTGGTAACAAAAGTACTAAGTAATATTTGGTGTTTAGTTTGTTACTAATATTTACTGAAGAGAGATGAGGATGTTGGGTTTGTTGGCCATTTTATGCTTAGGATTTTTATTTTCTGTGAGATCATTCAGAACTGTCAGTAGTTCATCCTGTGAAATCATTGCCCACTGATACAGTCTACTACCATAAGCCAAAGTAGAAACTGCTGCTTTTACCTCTTCTTTCGACTATTCCACAACACAGTTATAATTTCCAATGTTCAGTAGTTTCAATAGTTCTGTTCCCAGAAAATTTAGGATTTTTTGTTGTAGATTGACACAGAAAATGTGGGGCTACCGCTCATAAGCACAATATAGGACACCAAGAGACTTTTAAAGCTGTGACAGCTTGAAATCTGTGAGTTTACAAAGATTTCTAAGTCAGGGTGAGGTCCCAGTTGTTAGTTGGGTATGGTGTGGATTTGTGTGGAACCTGATCTCAAAGCAACAGGAATTTGGTCCCTGGCTTTCAGCATTGTTCATCACCAGCACTTGAAATTCACTCTCTTCTTTTTGTCACTTCCTTCCCTTCACAGTGTGCACTCATTTTGGTGGCTCTTTAAATTGTTGGATCTCAAGCAGAGTTTGAAGTGTATGGTTTGATGGGTATGTGTAACTTAGCACTGAGAGAATGAACTTGAACTTCATTTTCAATTTCATATGCTCACCTTTTCTAATATTTTTGTTAAATACTGCTTTCACTTCAAACGCACTGTAATTTTTGAGGAAAGGCTTGATCTGTGCAGTGTGCTTCAGTTTGTCCAGCTAGGCAAACAAAGTTGTAAGTTCATTATTATTGCACTTTTATTACACAATAAATTCTTTGCAGATACTGTAATATATTTTAATATGCTTTGTAATCATTTTTAGAAAGTGGTGATAAAAATTGCTGCTTTAATAAACTAATATTGAACTACTGGATATTTTCTTTTGTATGTTTCTTTCTGAAAATAATCTTTCGGGCACGTGAGTTTTGTAATCCTGCTACTTAAGGCTTGTAGGCATAGTAGCTATTTGTGCTGAAAAATCCAAGGACATCTTCCATACCATGCTACCTACTACTTAAGAATAACCAGTTATATCAATAGAACATTAACTGTAATGTGCTTAAATTAATTCCTCCCACCTCTCTCCTTCTCCCATGTGCACACAGTTTACTTGAGTCATCTCCAAGGATAAACCTGTGCCATCAGGATGCTCCAGTTTAACTATTTCTCCTACTGCTGTCAAATTTCAGTTGCTGCAGAGTTCATATGTAGCAGGGTTGGCAAGCTAGGCTGTTAGGCTCCTGATGGTCATGCCATATGTCACATGAAAGCAAGTGTTTCACATGCAAACAATATGTTGTGGGTTCCTGGAAGACTACGTAGCTGTTGAATCACAATGACTTGTTTGAACTACTCCTTACACAAGTCAGAAATAATCTGAAGAAGATGAGGTTTTAGTGGGTTTTGGAGATGGAGGGTTGTTTTTGGTTTTTTAATAGAGCGTTGTTTTACATACTCCACATACAAGATACTTCAGACTTTGAAAAAGTTACAGCACACTTCATAACTGTTCTCTAATCCACAGGTCTATATTTGGACAACAGGAAAAGTGGACAAATACCCATGCTACCAGTGTGTAAGTTCTGTGGTAATTGTTGCTTCCAATATTTGACACCCTTAAAACTGAAACATTTCCGTTGTAACTTCAGTGGGGGTGCTAAGCTTGAAAAATAAGAGTACTACTGTGCCACTTAGTTTCTTCAGACTTTATTTGCTTCCATGAGTGGTGTATTGGTAAGAGCTTTGGAGCAGACAGTGCTGTGGGTTTCTCTGATCCAAGGCTCTGCCGTATGGCACAGGGCATTTTGAAAGCTGGGCCCTTGGGCTTGCCTGCCTTGCCTTGCTTAGACAGATGAACAGATGCATCTGCTGAAGGTGTCTTCCTTCACTCAGGACTCATGGCAATAAGCTAGAAATAAATACTCAAACCCAGCAAACACCTGTTGTGATCAAAACACAGTCAGGAGGAAGAGGTTGTTTTTCACAAATAGTGTTCAGAAGTCTTGTATGTATGCAGCTTTTCTGACCTCTGAGGGAAAAATATGGATGGAAACCATGGTATTGAGGGAGATTCCTCTCCCTTTTTCTGCCTGACTTCATGCTAGCACAGATTTGTGATAGGCTGTGGACTCAGTTACTTTCTGGTCCAATAAAACTTACTAATGCCAGGTCTAACTTGTTCTCCTACCTCTTCTTCTCTCTCAGCTGGAGCTTGTCCATGTTCTTTCCAAGGTGTTGCTAGCTCAGCAACCCATATTCCACTTCAGTTTGGGGCTCTGACCATTTCACTGTAGTGAAAGTAGCTCATGAATGCTATGTATCTCTTACTAGATGCTGTGTTTCAGATATACTGAACGATTTCTAAGATTACCATTTCTTAAATGTTTTAAATGAGGAACTGCTGAGACATACTGTTCATGCTTAGTAATTTCTTTTTCAGATCATTTTGCGTTTTTTTCTCAAAACGCATTAATTTTGTGTCTAGTCTGAAAGTAAGAAATTAATAAACAGTGTAACTATAGCCAATAAGTTCAGGGCTTGGGCAATTTTGGCCTACAGTGGAGAGTAATTGCATGTTTTCTTCATTTTGCACTACACTGTCTTATCTCTCATCTGCTAAAATTGGCACCTTTTATGTTAACTGTTTATACAATGCTTTTGCCAGCTACCTTCAGTCATTCCACATGACTGGGACACCTTCACAATGAAACTGAGATGACTGGGCTGCGAGAGAGCTGTGATTGCAATCAGTAGTCTGCTGCTCAGGGCAGTGGGGGACTAAAACATGAGAGTACACCATGGTGTGCAGAGTCTCTGTGGGTAGGGTACAGTGCTCTGGCACAACGGGTGCTGGGAGCCAATCCTTATGTGAATCTCACAGTTCTGTTTCTTTGACAAATAGAGCTAATTGCTTTATGACTACGATATACAAACAACCCCCTAGAATACAGTTGTGAAGGAGAATTTTCACCCTTATGCAATTGTCTTCCTTAGTAGTGATGAAAAATAAATGGAAACATCTGAATCATATGATGAAAATACACTGGTTAAATCTGGCATTGCCAACAGCAATTTCTAAGGCCCATTTTCAGTTTGATGTTCAAAATATTAAGGCTATTCTGTCACTTGAAACCTTTTATCTATGTTTGTATGAAATAGACTGAAAGTCCTTTGTCCCATGTGTTCATTCCACAAAGGCTTTGAAGCTCTTATGTTAACTATTTGAGGTTCAGAAACAGAAGGGAAATTTCAAGATAATATAAATAGCTCCAAGGAGAAAATGTCTTTAACTCATGACTAATCAAGCAAATGTATATTTTCTGTTTCAAAAAGATGACTGAACTTCTTCATGCCAGGAAAAATAAATCCATCTGATTTTGCTTTAAGCTGTCCTCTTTTTCAAATGCAGCAAGGGGCTCCAGTTCGTTTGGATGATGTAATTTGACTGTTCTGCTTGAATTCTGCTTCCTGTTGATGTCATGTCGCTGCTAGCCAACTATTCAAACAGAGAAGCAACTTCTAGTTTAGACTAGAGCATGAGGAGGCTGAGGCTTATAACAACCCAGCACCCCAGGATGCTGGTTTAGATCCTCACAGGCAGAGCTCAGCTTTAAGAGAAGTTGGGTCTCCAACCACCGTGGACTCCCCCCAGCCTGTGGGTGGGTGGCACCCCAGGGCAACTGGTGACAGCAGTGCTGACAAGGCAGGTATGTAGTGGGCAGGGGAAGGGGTTGCCTGGGGGTGGTGAGATCAAGTCCTTCGAGGAAAAAAGCTGAGAGAAGTATTTGGCTATTTTGGGATAAAGTTCAGCTGAGAGGCCTGTGAAAGCAGGGAATCTCTGCATACTGAGATGGAGGTTGCCATGCCTCTCTTAAGCTGCTTTTGATTAACTCCCTAACTTTTCTTCAGCCTTAGCATGCCAAATGAGTGAACAGCTTCTTGCAGTATTTACTGTCTTCTCTTCTCTGATGTTCTCAATATCCAACGTATAGTTCCCCTGTGCCATGATGAGGTTGCAGATTAGGTGTAATTCAAGATGTGGTTGTGAAATATTATGGGATCATCATTCTTCTCACATGTGTCCACCCTGCCTTGATAAGACTCAACATCAGCTGTTTGAGGATCTGAGGAGGGTGACAGAGGGCGGGGTGACCTGTGGGACCCAGGGTGCTGTCCCCAGGTAGCAGGCTATTTTCTGTACTTGGTGCACTGTGGGCTACAAGACAGTAGCTCCACGAGGAGGCTGCCATTCTACCCCGCAGAGTCAATGTCCAGATGTTTGTTGTTTTGAGACTCCTACATGTGGAAGCAACGTGGCTGGAGACATAGTAGGGGATAGAAAGCTGAGCAGTCAGGCATGTTTTCACTTAACATGCTTATTTGCTTTGAGATTTGGGGAACCTTCTCCTTAGCAGGGATCAGACAGGATTTCCACATACCTTCAGAACAGTGTGTACGTGATGCGTATATAACAGAGGATGATGGGCTGTGCCAAACCTCTCACCTGAGCCATGTGAATAAACACAGCCCTCAGCAAGAGCATGGCTTTTAAATCAGAGCTAGCTTTGCTCATGAAGGATGCATTAAGTTACAGGACAGTCAGCTGCAAATGGCCTTTAATGGGGATACTTTGGCACAGGAAGGCATCTCCACCCAGCTGCATAAACATAGTCTTCTCTGGCAGACTCCTCTATCCTGGTGGGCAAGGGAAATGTCCATGTTCTTTCCAAGGGATGCTCTGCTACTTGGCAGAGAGGAATCCTGCATCAGAATCCTTCCTGTCACAAAACACGAAAACCCTGCTGCCATCTAGGAAAACCACTTTGGGCTGAAAATAAGGCAAGGGAAGGGTGTTCTTTAGGTTCTTCTTCCTGAGGTCAGTGTCAAGGCTCCCCTTCTTTGCAAAGACAGCAAGAGAGGGTCCATAATTAGACTAGAGGGGTGATTTTTTTCCTTATCTCTCTGGGAAACTGCACACAAATACTGTGTTACCATTCTTCTTACTTTGTTAGGATATAAATAACTGATGAAATGGCTTTATTTATCACTGTCATATAAGTGTATACCATTTAACTTTGAACTTCAGATGGATATTCAGGAGTTATGGAAATTTTATACCAGTATCTCTGATTGTCTTTTTTCATAAAAAGCATACAGTGATTTGCACATTTAGTCATATAGGTAATAATTAACTTACAATAGGGAGAAATGCCTGCATCCAGGACAATTCACCTACTGGTCCTCTGCCTTCTATATGAGAGGAGTGAGGACATTTTCCCAACACACACAGCCTAGCCAACCTGTACCAGATTTAAACCAACAGTCTACAATCCTACCTTTATAAGAATGTAAGTATAAGTTAAAGTTAATAGTGGATCCTGTCTATCTTGACGTGAGCAAGGCTTTCTACATTGTCACACATGAAATCCTCATAGGCAACCTCAAGAAGTGTGGGTTGGTTGAGTGGATAGTTGAATGCATTGAAAACTGACAGAGTGGCAGATCCCAGATGGTTGTGATTAGTGGTACATAGTCTAGTTTGAGGCCTGTCAACAGTGATGTCCCTCAGGGTTCTATACTGGGTCCAGTGTTGTTTAACTTGTTCATCAGTTACTTTGATGAAGGGGCAAATGTCTCTTCAGGAAGTTCAGTGATAATACAAAACTGGAAGGAGTGGCTGATACCCCAGAGTGCTGTGCAGCCCTTCAGAGGCACCTCGATAGGTTGGAGAGGTGGGCAGAAAAGAACCATCTGAAATTTGACAAGGGCAAATGGGGAAGAATAACTCCCTGCACCAGTACAGGCTGGGGTCTGACTGTAAGCAATTCTGTGTAGAGAAGGACCTGGGGGTCCTGATGGACAACAAAAAACTGT